AAAATATGCCATTTTCTCCCATATTTTGTCATGTCTCACAACTCCCCACCATTTTTGAAACTTCGAAAATCATTCCTTTTTTACGAGCCATATAAATTTGTACAACCGCTGTAAATTTCAACGAACTGTTACAGCCAATAGTTGTATTGTAAAGTCTACTACATATCCTGCTTTACAGGTTTGCAAACTACCGATTTTTATGGTAGTTATGCTTTAAAAACAAAACCCGTCTCCCAACTCCCTATTCTCCCCTAAGTATATGTATAGCTGCGCAATGACAACAAAACAACATATAAATAAAGGGACATACAAAATAGATGGCTTTTGTCAATATTTAAGCCCCAGTTCAATTTAGCAATTCATCTTTTCAATTTTTCCAATTTTAATTAACCAAACAAGTCTATTCCTCCTCTTCCTTCATATTTCATTCTTCCCTTCTCCTTATCACTAAGTAATAAATATATATAGGAATACCTTTAAATCAAAGAATAACTCTACATCAGATTATATGCCTTCCTTTTATTACAAAGAAAATTTTTCTCCAACTATTGAAGGAAAAACTGGAATAGTATGGGATTTTAAATTAAATCCCTAAGTCAGATAAGTGGGCTTTATATAAAAGCATTACTTCTATTAAATATTACAGGCGCGCAAAAACCTGTTCAGATATTTCAATAAATTTAATTAAATCTAATTATTTTGCTCAATATTTAAATAAAAATAATGATATTAATAAAGAATTAATTACAACACCATGCATCGATGGTCACATTGAATTGGATAATGATTTCAATATTGAGATCGATAACATAGATATAAGATAATAATATAGATAGCAATTTAGCAGATAACAATATAGATAATATAGATATCAATAGAGATAACAATATAGATAATATAGATATCAATGAAGATAATGTAGATGATATAGAAAATTTTGACTCAGATAATGATGAATCTGATAACAACAATGATTCGAGTAATGAAAATACTTTGAATAACGATGAATTAATAAGTAATTATAAAAATTTCAATTACACAACTAATGAATCTTCGATAGCATCTCAACTTGCTACTTGGGCTCTAAAAAATAAAATTACACATATTGCTCTGAATGAATTATTAGATATTTGTAAGTCTAAACATAATGATTTGCCTTCGGATGCTCGCGTATTAATAAAAACTCCTAGGAAAAAAGCTTTAAAAATTGTTGAACCAGGACATTATTTTCATTTCGGTTTAAGTAGTTGCATTCAGAAACTTTTTTTATTTATAACTTTAAAAAATTTACAACAAGTAGAAGTTTATATAAATATTGATGGGTTACCTCTTTTTAAAAGTTTAAATCAACAGTTGTGGCCAATATTATGCAGTTTAGTTGAAAATCGTAGTAAAGTAGGTATTGTAAGCATATATCACGGAAAAACAAAACCAAATGATGCAAATGTATTTCTAAAAGATTTTATCAATGAAGCTATTGATTTATCAACGCATGATGTTACAATAAATGAAACTAACTATCCCTTTAAAATTAAAGGTTTTATATGTGATACGTCTGCTAAGGCATTTATTAAATTTACTAAAGGTCATACTGATTTTTATTCGTGTTCAAAATGTCATATTGAGGGGGATTATATTAATGGTAGAATTTATTTTTCGAGTTTAAGAAAATTTCGCGATAGAACCGATTTTGAATTTAGATCAAAAGCTCAAAAAGAACATCATGTAAATTCAAAAACTTCAGATCTTGAATTAATTAAAGATTTAAATACGATTAGTGATTTCCCTGTAGAGCCAATGCATTTAATTGATCTGGGCGTTACAAGAACTTTAGTACATTTGTGGTGTTTTGGTAAACCACCAACAAAATGTTCTCAAACACAAATCTCACAAATTTCTGATTTATTAATAAAACAAATTAAAAATATTCCATTAGAATTTAACCGTAAACCGAGATCATTACAAAAAAGTAAAAGGTAGAAGGCAACAGAATTTAGGCAATTTTTACTATACACAGGGCCTGTTGTTTTAAAATCTATTCTCAGTCATGACAATTATTATCTCAATTTTATGTGTTTGAATGTTGCTGTAACTACTTCATCATCATATTAATAAATATTTAGATTACGCTGATTCTCTTCTTAATTATTTTGTAAAATCTTTTATTATTTTGTATGGTAAACACAATTGTACAATTAATATACATAATTTGTTACATGTATGTAATAATGTAAAAAAATTTGGTCTTTTACAAAACTACAGTGCCTACCCCTTCGAAAATCATATGCAAAAAATAAAAGGATGTTCGTAAAAAAGATAAACCGTTACAACAAATAATAAATCGTATACATGAAGAAAACTTCGCGGAATTAAACAAAGAAAATAAATTAAACATCAAAACCGAATTATTAAATAAACATAATAACGGCCCTTTAGATCAAAATTTATATAGAAGTCAGTGGAAAAAAATAGTGTTTCCTAATTTTACTGTAAAAATACAAGAACCAGATAATTGTTGTACGTTAAACAATGGTGACATCATTTTAATTAAAAATATTGCCAGTATAGACAATGAAAATGCAGTAATAATAGGAAATAAATATGAATCAATAACAGATTTTTATAATGAACCATGTAAATCTTCTGATTTAGGTATACATTTAGTGGAAAATATTAGTAACAATCTCCAAAGGTGGAATATTAATAAAATATTGTATAAATATGTAAGATTATACTTTAAAGATAAACTTGTTGTTTTTCCTTTACTTCACTCTCTATGATTGAATTATAATTTAAATTTTACATATTCAAAAATTTTTATTTACTATTATTTAAGTAAGGTCGATTGAATTTTATATTTTATATTTAAGTAATGTCAATTTTTTTTATTATATTTTATAATTGGAATTAAGAAATTAATAAAAATGTTTTTTAATATTAGATTATGAATATAAAATAATAAAAATATATTAATTATTCTTTTGTGAAATAAATTTTATTGACGGTATGACTACATTTATAATATTCGGAATTATTGTGATCTAGAATTATTGAGTGCATCCAGAAGTACGACCGCTCCCCAGCAAATAAAATACCCAATAAATATTTTCACGGATGAAGATACCGTGGAAGCGGTTCCATCTAGTTGGTTAATTAACAATAGGTGTTATTGACCATCGTTTCCATTAAATAAATTAACTGCAGCAATTAGGAATCACGAAGAACCAAATAATTGTTGGTCCTCATATCCTGTTCGGATTCTAAGACATGGAACTTTTGGTAAATATACTTATATAAGCAAAGGAACGCAGCAATTACAATAAAAAACACGTAGGAAATAACAATAACAATTAATTCTTTAATTTAATCTATTATTCTTTTCAATTATTATAAATTGCTATTTTTTCAAAAAATATTTTTTTTAGTTTATATCCTTTTAGTTTACACATACACGCATATATTATTACGCATTTAATTTATAAATTTTGTTTACTTTATGATTTTTAGTTTATAGATGCGTTTTTGTAATAATTGATATTCGGCGAATTAAAATTATGTACTTTGCTGATTATATATTATTTATCAATTACGCGTTAAAAATTCCCGCCCGTAGTAATACATGAAATCGGCCGATTCAGACGTGGCGTCACGACGCCACAAACTTCAGCCAGCGCCGCCATTAGTCAGTGCGAGTCCAGCGGCGGAGGAGTAGAGGTGCGTCGCGAATGCTCCGCGTCTCGTCTGGATTTCGTGCGCAAATAACGCGAATAAACGGGAGTGCAAGTCCGGGAGTGTCGTGTTTGACGCGGTGGACCGAATAATATACTCGAAGAGCATCCGGACGTCGATGGGGACCCAGGAGCCTCGGAACATCGCGAATTGGAGGTTGGTGGGAAAGGGATGGAGGACGTTTCTCGCTTGAGACGTTCCGCCGTGATTTTCGCGCATATTTCGGCGTTACTCGCTCGCCCGAGAGCCTCGCGAAAATTCTTCATCGTCTCGAAGGGTATCCCGGCGTCGACGGGGCCCGGGAGTCTCGGAACATCGCGAATTCGCGGAGTTAGCGAGCTGGGCGAGGGGAAAGGGGAAAGGGACTATCGTTTGAGATATCGTTTTCGACTATATCTGAACTATATTTCGACATATACGGCGGCTCCCGTGCGGTATTTCGGCATCATCCGTTCGAGATGTTCCGCGAGTGCTCCAGCATCTCCTGGAGTGCCCGAATATCGGAGAAAGTGTCCGAAAAGCTCGACTTCATCGAAACGTCGATTCAAATTCTAGGGGAAGGGCGGCCATACCCCTCAATCGCTTGAGATACTGAGCTTTCGTGACTATCCGCGTAACGGTCATTGGCGCGCAAGTGTTACTTCCCCATGAGACTTCAGTTCCTTCGCGATGCTACGAAATAACGCGGTGCGCCGGGAGATGTCTCCTTATGTCCATATGTTTCCTTGTTTCCAAGCAACTGGTATTGCTATGTAGTTGTTACCTATTTTAAATAAAAAATTTGAAGCTGTCATTCCAGCGCCTGTTTTGTTCTAGCGCATGCGCATACAGCACGAATAAGAATATATATCTTTCTCTCTCATACAGATCTTATGGATACTTTTGTTTCCCGAAAAGTAATGCCATTCCATTTCTATATGTTCTAAGGTCGTGTTGCTAAGGCACGAGAAATAAGAGGGGAACAATAAGTATATGTCAAAAAATCTAGTCGAAAGCCAATAAATCCCGTCACTGACGTACAAATTAATCAATCGATTAATTAAAAAATTTGCCATATGCTAAAGTTCATATAATTATAAAAAAATTAGCATTATTTTGCAATGTCCTACGATTCCTCCGATCTATCTCAGAACAGATAATCAACCAAATGAATAAATAAACCGAAGAATTTGTTCAATTGTTAAAACCATTTGAAGATACAACAAGAATCACATGAAACCATGGTGAATATTATCCCGTTGTGGAATAAATCGTAAATATTTGAAAAATATTTTTGATATGCATAAATGAGGCCGTACGGCGGGCGGTGAACAAAGAGCGGCGAAAACTGAACCGACGACCCGGACCTGCAGTTCCCGCACAAAAATATATGCCCGGGCCACTCGGAGGTTATATACCTGCACCAGGATATGTAACTGGCGCAGGAGGATACGCTCCCGCGCCAGGATATGTGCCCGGTGCCGCAGGATACATGCCGGCACCGGGATATGTGCCTGGTGCAGTAGGGTACGCTCCCGCGTCAGGTTATGTGCCTGGTGCAGTAGGGTACGCTCCCGCGTCAGGTTATGTGCCCGGTACTGCAGGATACGTACCTGCACCGGAATACATGCCCGGGCCTGCAGGATACGTACCTGCACCGGGATATACGGATTTGATCCGGGAGTGAGAAGACGAAAAGAACGATTACGGACCGAGCAGAGGCGACCACGTCCAAATCACGCCCGGTAAATATTTTTCACACACTGATTTTTTTGATTGCTCCTCACTTTAAGAACCTAGATACCGCCGTAAAATACTCCTTCCGTAGAGATTCCGGCAAGACACGGGGATGGCCACTCTCTCGCGAGGTGCGAGAAAGCCCCGGACAAGAAAGACGCGAGAGATACAATGCCTCGAGCTTCAGCTTATCCGACTATATAAAAAAATTCGAGATTGATCAATCAATCGATCGGGCGGATTTTTGGAAGGGACAACAGAAACGGTGCGCTCGTAGGATTCTTCCCGACGAGAAGTATAGCAAGGAGCATCGGAACTCTAGGCGGAAGGACAGAGGAACGGCGAAGAGAATTATCACCGAGCAAATTCGCAGGGCCCCGCGGGATGCCTGGTGGCCCTGCCAGGATAAGAAGCGCCACGGGTAGAAAATGCCCAATTTATTATCGGCGTGATTCCGGCAGGTCTCTCGCTCGTCATTGTCCGGCGGAACGTGGCAAAGCGCAGAGGTTCCCGATCCCGGATGCCGAAGCAGCGGCAACCACGCAGATGCCGGTGAGACGAACGGCCCTAGAATTGTAAAGTCGCTCATTTTCGAGTTGATTGTTCGGGAGAAACGCGTGTCACGTCTGCGGCCGATTACCAATTATTCGCCTGTGTCATTTCGAGATATTAAGAGAAAATTAAGAGATTTATTACGCGTAGAATTTTGTCTCGGCGCCCGACCGACCGCGTGTTCTCTCCCGCGCGCACATTGAGAGAAACTCTCTCCTGCGGATACGCCGACAGTCGCCGTGATTTCTTTGTACCGATATCTGGAATAAATTCTTGTACTCGTAATTATTGTGCCGTCTCTAGTCCGTTAGAGCTATAAAGCGTAGTATGTAATCGTCCCTACCATCGCATCGGAGATATATAGAGTATTCTTTCTCGCGCCTGCGATTATTCAAGTATATTAGCTATTTTGTGTACTTGCGCGAAGGACGTCCCGCGGAATAGATATCAGGAATAAATCGCGCGGAACATATTATAGTTTACGGGAGATTGTGTAGTGCCGCGATTATTAGAATCAATCACTTCGCACGGACCGTAGTAAGTCTCGTGCGTGAATAATTATTCGCCACGTATACGAACAAGTTTACTCCCGGGTTCCGCGTGTCACCAGATATCTCCGCGTCGGGTCGTCCAAAAGGTCGCGGAATCATAACACCGCGCCACGTGTCAGCAGCCGTACTCTCGCTGTACTTTATCTTTACGACTGTAATATCCGATTTCGATCGCTTTGGATTTCGGCGTTCTATAGAACTCGCCGCCCGCCACCAACGACAAGTGCGCGAAATTTAATTAATATCTTATCGCAAGAATATTATTTTTTTGTATGCATTATTACTTTAACATTTATATTTTTTTGTTATTTATTTGCATCATTGTTCAAATATATTCAATTAATATTACACTTTGGGAATTCTAAATAGCCACTCTCGAACTCCGTTCTCTCTCCCGTCCGAACTCCCCCCTCTACCCCCTGACGCTCTGAGCGAGTCGAGTATTGCCGTCGCGAAACTTTCGGGATGTTTTAAGATTTACGAAAGGTCTTTTCCTAATTATGAATTTTTAGAGTAGCGCGAATCTCGCGCCTGGCGCCCAGGCAAACGAAAATTTATTGTGTCTTCGCAAATTTCCCGCTTTCCGCGCCGAAGGTGTGCCGTCAGCCCATTACATCGGCCCTACTTTTCGAATAACTAATTATCCGACCGAATAAAAGAATTACGGTTACAACAATGTATAATGCAAATAAATTTCGTGTATCAATCAATTTTACATAATATTCTTCTTTTTTGGAAGTTATATTAAAATCAATATATCATAAAAAAGTCACCAAAACATAACCAAAATGTATCAAATGAGATCATTGTGATTTAGTGACGTCATAATGGTGTCATGAGTTTCGTGTTCTATCTGGGAACGGATATCCAAATCATACACATTCCTCACATCGCATGTTTCAACGGTTGTGTCAAAAATTAAGAGAAATCAGAAATTTGGTTGCGCGAACAAGTAAACGTCAAAATAGAACATGTCATGAAAACAATAACAATAATGTGCTTGCTATGGTGCATGTTAATCCTCAGATTAATTCACATCAGTTAAAACGCAAATTTGACATTAGTAAAAGTAATGAATTCTTAGTAAATATAAATTCCATCCATACCATATAAAAAATAGATATGCTCCTCGTGTAAGCAGAAGCTCTCAATTTTCTCGTAGAGCTAAGTTCGCAAACACATAGAAAGTAACCAACTCTAAGCGTTTTAGAAAAACCTTAACGGCTATTCTACAATAGGTCGCAAATATCCTCGTTGCTAGTTGATAGTTGCAAATTAACAAATCAGCTGACAAGTCGCTTTGCTCTGATTAGTCAATCGGCAATTGTCAACTAGCAACAAAGATATTTGAAATTTATTGTAGTATGGCCCTTAAGCGAGGTCTACAATGGCAGCAGAAGTACAGAGTACAAAAGTAAGTAATAAGCGTAACTTCGTTACTCCCGACGAAATGAGCGAATCCCATTTCGTACTGCTTACTCTTGTACTCTGTACTCCTGCTGCCATTGTAGATCCCGCTTTAGAGACACGCGAATTGTGATGCAAGATCTACCATAAAGTCTCAAAGTCACAAGAAATCACAACTCACAAGAAATTGACCAATAGTCGAGTATGAAAAGAATAATCGATTCTGGTTGGTCAATTTCCTACGTGAGCACGACTTTACGACTCCATTGTAGACCCCGCATGATGATTTGAAAAAATACAGCGATTTCTACAATGCTGTTGATGTGTGTGTGAGATTTTTACTTTATCAGTATGCCTAAAATCAGAAATATTCTTTCAAAGTCAGCCATTAATCAATCCCAACGTTATAATCAGTTCGCGTGTCTCTTACTTGAGGTTCTCTAATTTAAAGTGCCGCTTCATCGAAATATGTATTTATCCATTTCGAAATCTAGAATTTTTAACATGTTTTCTCAACTCTGACGTCACAAGAAAAGAAGCGCCTTCCTTACTCCTTTGACTCACTCATTGCACACTTGAAACATGTAAGAGATATTATTTATTATAACAAAGGTATAGGCCAATAATAATACAATTTATTTGTTTCAGGCAAGAAGCCTTTCAGATGTCACAATAAAGAAAGGTTTCGTAAACATAAAAAAAAGAGTGAAGTGCGCAAGAAAAGAAGGAATCTGAGGGAGGCTGTGGACGCGTTATGGAAAAATTATAGTGAAGATGTATTAAACTTGGGAAATTTATTTGACCAGAACCCGATTTCTTGCATAAAAAAAGCGAGGCAGGCTCTTCTAGCCGCGCTGTGTGGTGTACTCCGAAATCCGTATTAGTTCAGAAAAAAATATACTTGAGCAAACCGGAGAACCAGAAGGATCCGCAGGCAATATTACCAAGTCATGACCAACCCGCTCAAACAGTAATCGCGCAAGCCCCAAAGCCGAAAGGCAAACGGGCACTTCCTAAGGCCATTAATCAGCCAACTAGATTAGCCGCGAGCATGTCAAAAAACGTGCAGCCAATGAGAAATGATCCGACGAAAAACGCAGTGTTTATCTCGTCCATATCAGTTAGGGAAACGAACAACGATACCAGATTCGATCTCACAGCCCCAACACTCATTGAGGTGGCCAGACTGTGCTACGCAGAATATGTAGCAGACGACGTGAACACAGAATCGATACTCCCAGAGTACTTTAACTACTATACCACAGCAATGCTTTGGCTAAGATTCATATCTCTCAAAGTCAAGTTGCGCCAGACAATCACACCAGCAGAGCTTAAATCAGTTGGATCCACACAGACTATAACTCGGGAGCACCTCACTCCAGCAATATCAGACCTATCCACACAAGCCATCGGACACGGTGGTGGCTACTACGGAGCAATCACTGAAGATAATCACAATTTATATAAAAAGATACTTTGTATGGATGTGACGAGCAAAGCTATCAGACGCGCCATCAGCAATGATGCGTCAAACCCATAAGAATCCATAAAGCTCCATAAGGACACAAGCATTGTATATTAACCGATATCCAAATCGTATTCCGTTCCTCACACCGCATGTTTTACGGTTGTCTGAAGCCTGATCTACAATGTGCTCTTTGCGTTGTCTTTCGTGTTCTTTGTTCTCTGCACAATGTTTCTTCTCTTTTTGTTGCCTGAGATAAAAGTGGACGAACTCTACTTTGTCGGTAAAATACCCAGTGTGAATTGATGGTCGAATCGACGTCAATTCATTGTCGAATCGATGTCAAATTCGTCGAATCGATGACAATTCGACCAATCATTTCTCACTGGGTAAAGCACAAAGAAACAAGAAAATAAGAGGTCAAAGAGCACATTGTAGATCAGGCTTTAAAAATTAAGAGAAATCGAAAGTTTGACTGCACGAACAAGTAAACGTCAAAAAAGAACATGTCATGAAAACAATAAAATTTTTGTATTACACATGCAGGCAATGTGGCACATCGGTGCATGTTTTCTGTGCCGAAAGCGGCCAATTTCCCCGCCGCCATCTAGCGGCGACGCGGTGAGTGAATAAGCCGGTTTGAAAGCCATTATCTACGGCTGAGCCGCGTTAAAAGTCATTGTATACGGCTCAAGCCGTAGGAAATGTATTGAAACCGGCTATTCCCCCACCGTGCCGCGGCAAGATGGCGGCGTGCGACCATCCGTCTCGCGCACACAAAACGCGCCGAAACAGCCACTTTGCCTGCACTTGCAATACAAAATAATATGTGTATCAAGTGCGGATTGACAATTGTTCACTCGTATGGGATGGTCGCACTCGCCTTCGGCTCGTGCGTCCATCCCCCCGCACTCGTGACCAATTGTCAACTTTTCGCACTTGATACACAACCCAGACAGCACAAAATGTTCAGAGAATATTCTAATAAGATGATTTCGATATATTCTCAGAATATTCGGAAAGAATATTCTTATATTGTTCTAAAAATGTTTTGAATATTATTGGAATATTATTCGTGAAGTTCGAAGAATATTCCAGTAATATTGTAATAAATATTCTTATAATATTTTATTTCGTTTGTGATTAGAACGTTGTGTACTCTAAAATATTCCTATAATATTCTACGAACTTCTCTTAAATGAAGCTCACGCATTATTCCTTAGCGTCGAGATTGATTGTTGGTACGAGGCGTATTGTAGAGAGCGCACCTTCAAATGAACTTCTAGAAGGCCGGAATAATCACATGTAAATGCGTGTATAACCTCAAAATGATAGAGTGATAGTGTCATCATACGTAATAATTATATTTGCCTGATTTCTAAAAGTGCTGCTACTTTTCGTGGTTACAAAACAGGTAAGTACAACCCGTATGAAAAAATATTATAAGGAAACTATAAAGAAAAATACTGGAAAACTACTGAGAGCAATATAGAAAAACTATTTAAACACTATTGAAAAATACGGGAATACTATTGTGTGCGTATTGCAACACTATTAAAAAACTATTGTAAACCTATTCGTGAAGTATAGTGTCATTCCCTGTAGTATTTTCGTCAAGAACTATTGAACAATTGTAACAAAACTATTTATGAATTATTCGAGCAAAATTTAATTATCTATTTCAGTGACAAAGAAATGAGACTGTAATCAGATTTAATATATTTGTATTTCACAAATATTATTACAATGCATGTGTAATAATATAATATAAAACATCTTGAAACATAACAGTATTATCAGTCAATTCTCGATTTATCACAGACAAAATGATAAGTTGTAATACAATTTATGATATTTAAAAAATAAATAGTTCTACTATTTATGTTTACAATACAATATTATTTATATTAAACACATACAAGAATATATAAATTTAAACTTATAAAGAATTTCACACTTATGATTAAAATAATAAAAATATTGATTAATCAATTTCTACAGTATTTACCAAAGGCACAATATATAATTTATCTTCTTTATAAAATATACTACAACACTTTTTATCAAAGTCTGAAGGAAAACAAATAATATCATTATTTGTTTCTCGTGCTATAAATGAAAACATTTTCGTTGATATACCTTTGTGCTTACAAAGTTCTTCGTCTAATATTTGAAATTTTTTACCAAGGACAATATAGTGTGTTGTTTCTAGTATATTAATTAAAATTAGACCTGAAATTAGCATTAATTTTCCATTATGTAATATCACTGTGCTATTGTTTCTTTTAATAAGACGAGAATATTTGTAACTATGATAAAAAGTATTTTTATAAGAAAATCTATAAAATAACTTAACGTTTTCTGTTATTGTTTCTTGTAATAACTGCTCAACCAACAATTTTTGAGACAATGATAAAGTTATATCTGCAGGTTTTCCAAATATTCTCAAGTCATCTCCATATCTTATACATTTTATAATTTTAGTTTCTTTCATAATGTTTTTAAACAATTTTTTTCCTTCTTTACTACAATTAGGCTTACTAAAGATTTCTGAATTTTTTTTTATATATCTTATTCTGGAATAAATTTTACAAATTTGTGATGGCACGTATTGACTTCCATGAAACATTTTTGCTATTATACCATTAAAATGCTCAAATGGAAATGCTGACCATGCCCATACAGCACCGTATTTTCTTACATAGTCTGGCATATGTAGCATCATATGTACATTATATTTCATGTTTTCTTTTCCATAAAGTAACTCGATATTTAAAACAAATTGATGAAGTGCTTTTTCCGCTTTATCAAACTCATTGTCTGTAAATTTTGTTTTGGAAAATATATAAATGCTATATACAAACAGTAACCAATGTTTAACATATTTCCGTGGCATTATATCAATCAAGCAAATGAGCGAATAATATAATAAAAAAGATTTCCATTCGTTTGCCTTCCATTTTTTATTTTTTATGGATTGTGGCGTTCTTGTAATTTCACATGGAGGCCGTATAGCCAATAATTTATTATTAAATTCACTCACTCTTAAACCTAAATACCAATCTTTATTACTATTAGCTGAGTCAAACCACAATGTTCCAAATAATTTTGTGACACCTAATAAAACTGAATGCATATATTCTGGTGGAAAAGAATGAATAATATGAAAAGTAGATAAAAACATTACTATTGAAGGTCCTTTAACACCTTTTATTGGTCTTCCTTCATTAATAGCTTTCTCAACGTATTTATAATGCTGCTTCATCCTTCGCATTGCTTTTTTATCACCAGAATATATACGTATCTGACCTCTTCTGATTGAAATTTGTTCCCCTTTATGGAGACAATAGGAACATCCATATATACCATTAAATTGTTTTATGTTTTGAATAAGTGGTCTAGCTACTGTATCTACACTTGCGAGAAGTGCATAAACTTTTATGTGTATAGGTTCTTTGTGTTCAAGTGTGGCACACCAAAACCCGTTGGTTTGTAATTCCAAAAGTTCATCTATGAATGGACGCAAGAACAAATCCATTGGTGGTTTTTTCTTATAAAACCATAATCCACAAAGCAAAATATTTTCTCTTCTAAGTCGGTATGGTAATTCATTTATACATACTTGAATGGGCCATATATTGTACATGGATGAATTAAATATTTCTACACCATCTGTATTCCATTGAATAGTAATATCGTTGTCACATATAACATTTTGTTCTTTTAAATGACGATAAAGTGTTCCATCTACGATATCACTTTCAATGGGACAAGTTTTTCTACATTGTGTAAATAATTTAGAATTTAATAATTCAATCAACTGCGGTTTTAATGGAAAATGATAAAAAAAATTAAAATTTTTTTGTAATTGGATTTGTTCGTAACGTTCTTTACAATTATTACATTCAATAATAATATCATGATGAAATGTCAATATAGTAAAACACGTTGGACAAAAATAATATTTACAAGAAATCACCTTTGGAAAGAACTGTAGAAAATGATACTTTGAGTGATGCACTTTAAATGGCAAATGGCAATCAATAATTTGAAGTAAAGCTTGCAATCCGGTGTCAGTCAATTTGTTTTTAACTGCCAAACTCATTAGTAATAATTGGCTTTCCTCTTTACTTAAATCACATCCTTCATATATGGGAAATTCAATGTGTTTCTGCAAGAAAATAATATATGCTTATGTATATACATAGTCTATTTTTATATACATATATATAAGTATATGTATATATATATATGTATATACATATATACATGGTATCCGCTAATAATCATATTTTTGATTCTATACAGGTAGAAGGTATCAAACTGAACAAATAAAATTTAAAAATTTTTACAATAATCGATGAATTAAAAAACTTGCCATAAATATAACATAGTTAAGTTCTGATTTTATATACCACATGTATTGAAAAAAGGAATACTTTTTAAAGAAAAGAATGTTTTTTAAAAAATGTTCATTTTTCTCACTTTTGCACACATCTGATATGTAAAATTTGAACTTTGCTTTGTATTGTAAAATTACCTGCAAATGTTTTTGATATTCTTGATTTTCATTTTCTTCATTATCAGAATTATTATTTTCATAAATCTCTCCATTATCGCTATAAAAATTAATTTCATTATTGTCATTTTCATTGTTAGAAGTATAACAATCATTTCCATCTTCAAAAAAATTATCAGAATAATATTCATCTTCATCTTTAAAAGAATAATCATGTTCATCTTCATCTTCAGATAAGTAATAGTGTTCATTTCCATCTTCAGCTAAATAATCCTGTTCATCTCTGTCTTCTTCAGATTCACTACTTTTATTTTCATTGTTACATTCAGTATTGTGAATCATGTTTACTTCTTCAAAAGATTCTTGGAAAGAATGCTCTTCAATTGTCATATCACTTTGTTCACACGAATTAATTTCTTCATTAAGGTACATTTCCATCTACAAATTATATATAAATATGTACAAATGTGAAAAGTGAAAAATTTCTCAGCGATTCCATCAATCACGCCTTGATTTCCACAATGAAAATATTCACTTTTCACGTTTTCACTCTAAACCAAGTTTTTACTTATCTTACATGATCGATATCCTGATGTTTAGATCACTTTATATAAAGCAAATAGAAAAAGAAAAATATGACTACCTGTGTCGCTATTTTCTGTTCTTTTGCTCTTACTACGCGAGAATATTTTGTTGTTGTGGGAATTTCTTCAGAGTCGTCTGTTAGATATCTTTTATAAGGTCCTCTTTTTCCTTTTGCCATTATTTATAAATACATAGACGTTCCTTTCTATTTTTTGTGTGCAATAGTTCCTCAACTTGTTGCTTAATATTTCAGCAAAATATGTATGTTCCGTATATTATCACTCGTTTACTTTATTTTACATTTGTGTAAACACCGACCAAAATTTCACAATCTATTGTAATGTATACGATACTCTTTCTCAAAAATACGAACAACTTAATCTCCATTCGAGCGATGCATTAAACCAATGTCGTAAAAAATAAGATGGCTACAATATTTCTGCCCGCTGCCTACTGCCCGCTATCAGAGCATGTGGAGGGGGTACGCAACAAAGAAGAAGTTGAATCAGATACCGTTAAACCGCACATGCGTACACATATGTATATCTCCTCCTATAGGTGCGTTCCGTTTCACGCATATGCGCGCATTTATCTATAATATACGTCACATGTACTATAGAAAATGCGCGCATATGCGTAAAACGGAACGCACCTTATGTCTATGTCTGACAGCGGACAGTGTCAGTTATTATTTTAGCGCGTTTTATTTGGGCGCCATTCAATCTCAAGCAAGATCTAGGTATCGATTCTGTAATTTCTTCTAAAGTAAAAATGTGAAAAGTGAAAAATTTCCGCCAATCACAAATTGAATTTAAAATGAAATCGATATGCGATTGGTGGAAATTTTTCACTTTTCACGTTTTCACTTTAGAAAAAGTTACAGAATCGATACCCTAGTGCGTCACTCATATTCCTGAGGAAGAGCGTATCACACGCATTGTTAACGATTTTTTGAATCAGTGTTATACATAAATATAAGAGGAAGTGTGAACGAGAGCGACAATAATACACCATCAAACTGACAAATTTAGCCATAACAATAAGCAAGAGGCAAAGCCAAGTTGAGAAAAGGAAATGGATAATAACAAATGTCTTTTGTTGGAATTTGTTAACGAAGATAAAAAAATTGCTGTCGGTTATCAAGATTGGTTGCAAGATAAAATAAGTGGAGAAAAAAAATACTTAGATATAATCGAAAAGAAAAGTGAAGTAAAAATAAAATGGCCTAATTGTGACATTGCACCAGCGTTGATAATGAAAAAAAGAGTGAAAACATGTGAATGGAAGACAGTTGTAGCAAGGATACTTTCTTTTGGTGGTATGTATATACATATATAACTAATATACATATACAGTGCTGGACAAATTAAATCATACACTTTACAATAAATTGAATTTGTTAGTGTAACTGTTTTTTAACAAGCAAATGGATTATTAGGTACAGAAAAATCAAAGCATTTCAAAGTATTTAAATAAAGGAAATATGAAATAACAAAATTGTTTTTAATTTTTATTGTAAAAAAATTATTCAATATTGTTAAAAAAATAGTTACACTTACAAATTCAATTTATTATAAAGTGTATGATTTATTTTGTCCAGCACTGTATATAACAAGATATTTTTAAAATCAATTATAATTTATACTTATAGCATTATAGCTTTATAGCATTATACTATTTTTATTTCAAAATTTAAGAATGGACCAAAATGTGCCAACAACGAGACAATTTGGAAATATATGGAATTTTAGAAGCAACTAAAGAGGAAAGAAAATCAATGTGTAAGAAACAATGGAGCGATGATGAAGAGCCAGAGGATAGTCAGAGAAAAAAGGTTGTTACGTTCACTAAATTTTATAAATTCTTTTCTTATTATTTATATTACTTGTGTTCTTAATATATATAAATCTTTATTTTCTCTAAAAATAGAAATACAAAAAAAAAGAGATGAACATTGAAACCAAATCTTCAAAATTATGGAAAGAATTGAAAACACGTAAAACACAAGTATCTATAGTAAATTTTCTTTATATTTATATTTGAAAAAAGTAATATAATATTCCAACATTAATTTTGAATTTTTTTTTAATGTAGATAGAGTCCGAACAATCTTCAGATGATGACAGCTCTTCAAAAATGTCGCAACATTTTATACAAGAGAACAAAACTTTGAAAAAAGAAAATAATGACTTAAAAAACGAAAATGTGGCACTACGTATTTCACTTGCTTGTATAGAAAGTATGTATCTTATTTGAAATTATATATTATTTTACATACTACATAAGCAAAAATATGTTACAAAGAACTAATTTTATATTTAATTTTTAGATTTGCCGAAAATAAACAATTTGGTGGAAACCATACTTCTTAAAACAGAAAAAATACATGATAAAATAGATTTAATTACGGATTCCAACGGAAACAATTTGATGGAAAATGACATACTTCTCACAACAGAAAAAATATACAAAAATGATTTATTTGCGAAGGTAAAAATATATATATTAAAATATCTTTAAAAAAATCTATCATTAATTTTTTTTATACAATTAAAAATTTCGTATATTTTATTTTGTTCAATGGAATCAATTTTATATGTAACGAAATATTTTTCTAATTTATTATTATTTATAAGAAATTATTAATAAGTTTAAATAAAAATTTAATTTGTATTAATATTAAAATATATAATAATATTTAATATTATTAATAATTATTAATATTAAATTTTATTATAAATTAAAAAAATGTATATAATACTCAGAAATAAATATTTTTATCGGCTCTAGATATAAACATGATGTGTTCTAAATCGGCCTAAGAGCCAAAGCACGAAAAATTAATTAATTAATTAATTTTTCGTGCTTTGGCTCTTAGGCCGATTTAGAACACATCATGTATATAATACTGTTGTAAAATTGTATAAAATATTATGTATATTTTCACGTTTATACAGAATTTATAATTCATATTTAAATTTACATTATATAATTCATATAATTTTTTTGTTATATATTTATAGAAAAATAATAGTGAGGCTACAAATAATATAATAGAAATGACGTCAAATAAAGAACTTCTCAACAATGTAAGCATAATTTTCATATATTTGTTATACACTTTTTGTTTAATAGAAATAATTAACTTATTTTTTTTATTTATAGGAAAAAATGATTAATCTCGGTGGGAAAGGTGTTTTAGTAAATGCTGGTCGTCTTCGAAATTGTAATAGAAGTAGTATTTCGCAATACACATGCGATTTATTATCAGTGGTTTTTTCCAAAGAAGAACTGGCAACATCCAGTTTGACAGGAAAAATTGCCAATACTATGAAAGGAGCAAATATAACACCTAAACCAGCTTTAAATTCAAAACGTCTTGAGGCAATTGAAGGTAACAATCTCAAGTGAAAAACTTTTGTGTTTTATATATGAATAATTTGCAATTCATAGATTTAATATTACATATCACATATATTTTATAATCAAAAATAGAATATACATGTTAATTTCAATATTATACATATTAATTTTATTAATATATTTTTAAAATTCCCCTAAAAATTATTACTTTTTATTATTACAGCACACGTGTTTTCAATATTTGAGTGCAATAAAGACACTCAAAAACTTTTTAAAGCAGCTGTCAGACAAAAATGTAATAATGCTACACCTCGAGCAAGCAGAAGAAACCAAGAAGATGACAATAAATAACTTTTCTCGAGTTACTCTGCAAGTACTGTTAATTTATTTTTAATGACTTAAAAGAAATTAGCATTGGTCCTATTAAACAAAATGTTTTTTTTTAATTTTGTACTAAAAGATGTTTTTTTAATTTTTTACATATAATTTTATGAGTGTCTCAAAAACTATTGGTTGAGCAGTTATTACAAAAAACAACAGAAAACATTAAGTTATTTTATAGATTTTCTGATAAAAATACTCTTTAGATAAGAAAATAAATTATATATTGTGCCTTTCGGTACTGTTGAAATTGATTAATCAATATTTTTATTATATTTTTATTATATTAATCATAAGTGTGAAATTCTTTATAAGTTTAAATTTATATATTCTTGTATGTGTTTAATATAAATAATATTGTATTGTAAACATAAATAGTAGAACTATTTATTTTTTAAATATCATAAATTGTATTACAACTTATCATTTTGTCTGTGATAAATCGAGAATTGACTGATAATACTGTTATGTTTCAAGATGTTTTATATTATATTATTACACATGCATTGTAATAATATTTGTGAAATACAAATATATTAAATCTGATTACAGTCTCATTTCTTTGTCACTGAAATAGATAATTAAATTTTGCTCGAATAATTCATAAATAGTTTTGTTACAATTGTTCAATAGTTCTTGACGAAAATACTACAGGGAATGACACTATACTTCACGAATAGGTTTACAATAGTTTTTTAATAGTGTTGCAATACGCACACAATAGTATTCCCGTATTTTTCAATAGTGTTTAAATAGTTTTTCTATATTGCTCTCAGTAGTTTTCCAGTATTTTTCTTTATAGTTTCCTTATAATATTTTTTCATACGGGAATTTATACATGAATGTATTGGATTTATTAAAACTATTGCAAAGAAATCAAGACTTCAATAGTCAGAATCTTGTATTTATTTTTATTCAGATAATGTGTATTTTTCTTGTTTATAGGTTAATGTGAAATTTAATTTTCATCATAATACTACTCGCTTTCTCATACATCTTTTCATTAAAAAATATTCATTAGATATATAGTATTCGCTAAAAGCTTTTATTAGTCATTACCTTTTATTCTAACGTAATCATGCCAAAGAGATCTCGATCTGCTTTTTATAAAAGAATAAATACAGAATTATCTAAAAATTTATCTTTAGTTTCTCAAATAACTGAAGAGAGAAATGAGATAACTGAAGAGAGAATAAATAATGATATAATTAGTAAAGACATTATTGTGAAACTGTGCCACTATCACAATTTAATAATATTATTGAAGAAAATGTTGAAGAACAGTTGGGCAGAGACATACCAGAGAATGATTCGTATTCTGTAAATGATGTTATCGATCCATGCAATAAGCAATTAATAAATGAAAAAAATACTGCTTCAATCTCAAGTTTACCTTTTGAAAGTAATTTAAAATACTGGGCACTGAAACACAAAATTAATCATTCAGCTCTTTCTGATCTTTTAATATTACTAAAAACAAGTGACATTGATTCAAATAATTTGCCTTTAGATGCTAGAACTCTTTTATCTACTCCTAGGTCTTTAGAAATTCAAAAAATAGAACCAGGAATATATTATCATTTTGGCCTTTCTGAAGCAATAAGAACACTTTACAAAGATAACAATTCAAACATAATCGAAGTATTGATAAATATCGATGGTCTACCTTTGAGCAAAAGTTCAAGTAGCCAGATATATCCAATATTATGTAGTTTATATTCAAATCCTACAAAGATAGCTGCTGTAGGAATTTATCATGGCTATGGAAAGCCAGCAAATGCTAATAAATTCTTATTGCAATTTGTCAATGAAGCAATAGATCTAACAGTAAACAGTATCAATATTAATGGAAGTAAAAAACAATTTAAAATTAAAGGATTTATTTGCGATGCTCCTGCTAAATCGTTTATTTGTTACATAAAAGGCCATACAGGTTTTTATTCTTGCACAAAATGTTTTCAAAAGGGAACATACTTGAAAGGTCGAATTTGTTTTCCTAAAATTAATTGTACAAAAAGAACAGGTCAAAATTTTCAAAATAAAAATCAGATTCAACATCATTCTGGTACTTCTTGTATAAAAACAATTCCAGGAATTGATATGGTTTCTCACGTGCCATTGGAATATATGCATCTCATTTGCTTAGGTGTCATGAAAAAATTGTTGATGATGTGGATTTTTGGAAAGCCACAAATAAAAATAAAATCTGAAAAAATTAATAAGATTGATAGGCAATTATTATTAATAGTTAAAAATACACCAAATGAATTTGCTCGAAAACCACGTTCTTTGGGTGAAATCAAGAGATGGAAGGCAACTGAATTAAGATACTTTTTGTTATATGCAGGATCAGTTGTCTTAAAAGGAAATATTGAAAATGACAGATATATAAATTTTCTTTGCCTACACATTGCTGTGACAATTTTTTCGAATGATGAATATATCCAGAAATATGCAGATTATGCACATGCATTACTTAAATGTTTTGTTAAAAATTTTGGTAAATTATATGGAAAAGAAAATATATCTCATAATATACATGGTTTAATTCATACATATGATGACATACAAACGTTTGGAAATTTCAATAAATATAGCGCATTTCCATTCGAAAATTTCCTTCAAACTTTGAAGAATTTACTTAGAAAACATGAAAAACCGTTACAACAAATTGTATCACGGATAAAAGAATTAGAACAAGAGCTAGATTCCATAGAAGTCAATAAAAAAAGGCTGTGTGAGCGAGAACATGTTAAAGGTCCAGTTCCTAATCAAAGTTATACTCAAAAAATTAATCTTTGGAAAATTTAGTTTCAGTATTGAAAACCTTGCCGACTCATTTTGTTATTTAACAAGTGGACATATCATGAAAATAGAAAATATTTTAGTAAGGAAAACTACTTATGTGTATGGAAAAATATTTCTCGAAACAAATAATTTATTTGATTATCCTTGTGACTCAAGTACTTTTGACAAATAATTTGAGTGAATATTGTATACGAAGCGTAGAAGATATAAAAAATAAGATGATAGCCTTTATTCAAGAAGAAGGCTTCATATTTTATCCACTTCTTCATTAGAATTGTTATTAATTGTTATTATTAACCTTTACAATTCTATAATTTACATCAGTATTTTAAATGTAAGTAAAACATGATTTTAATTATTTAGTGAGTTTGTTTTAATATATTTTTATTCCAGATATCACGGCAATGAGTTGGAGGGTAGTGCATTTCATTAAAGACAATACAGTAGAAGCCGGACCGGCACTTTGGGTAAAGGACATTAATGGATGTTTTTGGCCGCCATGTAGTGGATTAAAATTAAAAAATTTGATAAAAAATTGCGTCCCACCTGGTCATGATTGGGATCTTCATCAATCAAGGTTAATTGGTGAATTATATGGTAAGTATTATTGAATTATATAGTAGATATTTGAAAAAAATTAGATTTTTTGTATAACAATATCATAACAAAAATTTTAGGAGATCTGAATGTTGCAAAAAATAAAGCAGCTCAAGCTGAAGAAACTTCTGATTTAGCATCGGAAAATGAAGGAAGTAAAAGGAAAATTAAAAGAAAAAGATTTACATCTGGTTCAGATTCAGAATCAAGACCGATTACTGTCAATACTTTTACTAAAAGAAAGAGTAATATACATAAAGACAGCGAAGAAAGCGAAGAAAGTGACGAAAGCGATACAGATAATGAAATAAACGTTCCAATTTTAAAGAAGACCACCAAAGGTAAATAACATATGTATAAATTTTTATTCACGAATTGACTGAAATTTTTCGTTTTATTTTAAGAAAATTCTATGACAGCAGCCTCCAAAATTTGGCTAATATTCAACCTGATTCAAGTTAGTATTAATAATAAATACTCCTATTTTTTTGTACAATCTTCATCGATATTTTTTTTTTAGTGCCTTGCACTTCAAAAGAAGTAATTCCAAATATCGTTAAGTCTCAAGACGTTTCTAAAAGTATTGTGATATCTATTAAATATTTTCTATTATACTAATTCTAATTCTGGATTCACACAACTTTATCATTATAATTATCATTGTCCAATTTTATTTTGTAGAAATAAAAATTAAATGAGTTTTATTCTAATCATTTTATTCATTTATTCTAATTAATTAATATTCTAGTCATTTAATTTCTTTTTCATTTTCAGATGAAGCCTACAAAAGACAGGTATTAAGAATGCTATCGATTCTCAATTATAAGATGGATCAAGTAACAGAAGATTTAAATATATTCAAGATGAATAATATTGTGGAAAAAGAAGTTCCCATAAAGGAATCGTTATTTGAACAATTCAATTTCCCTTTAAGTTCAATGGAAGAACTTCATAATTTAGAAATTTATTTGGAAAATGAAGAAAAAAAGAAAGAAGCTGTAAGTAATGGAAATAAATTTTGATATTAATATATTAATATTAATATTAGTAGTCCTATTATAGTTCTCAATGTAAATTAATAATCTTATGATCTATATCTATCCTATCTAATCTACATAATCTGTATCTACTCCTTATTACATTTTTAAGGTAATAGAACTGTCAAGGTTTGGAGGAACAAATCCCAAAGTTATGGTTAAAAGAATAATAGAGAAACTTTTCTCTAACGAATTGGCTATGCAATATTCTTGGATAGGATTCAAAAAGAAAGAAAATTTTTCTAGTTTGATTATTTCCCAAGTAATAATAAGTAAGATATTAAAATTTACATACATTGTATATACATATATTATTGTAATTATATATTTTATACTTTATATTTTATAATTTATTACTTATAAATTTTGATAAAAAATTTTAATATTAAAATTTACATACATTGTATATACATATATTATTGTAATTATATATTTTATACTTTATATTTTATAATTTATTACTTATATAAATTTTGATAAAATAATGTTATTTTGTTTTTGCAGTTAAATTATTTTTGCAATTTTTTTTAGAGTCTGTGATGACATTACACACAAACACTACAGCATCTGAAGTTGAAAGTGCCATTAAAATGTGGTTGGTTAAAGCCAAAGAGAGAATTCAGAAACAACAGCAAAAATAATTTATATTAACTTTTTTGTTAAATCACATCTGGCTTTCAATCATGTAATTTTTTCCCTACGACGGAAACGTGAAAAGTGAAAACTTTTAAGCGACTGTAACAATTCTATTTGTCGAATTTAAACGCGTAATTTTCACTTTTCACATTTCCGCTCCTACGAAAAAATTACATGATTGATACCCTGAAGTTTCTACCTATATATTTTGTACTGAAGTATTTTTGTTTTTCTTATGTTACTTTATGTTTACATTTTACGATTCATTTCAGTGATATAATTTTCTAGTACAAAGTATTATATATTTTATTGAGTGTGTCTCATACAAGGCTTTAATTTTCTGATACATGATTATATACTGATTTAATTTTTATTTTATATTAAGACTCATTCAATATTAATGTTAATTTTTTTGTTTCATTATGTTGCATTATATTTCTACTATTATTAACATATAAGTATATTTTATTAATATATTTATAAATATATATACTGATATAATATAACATGTATGTATATATATATTAAAATATAATAAATATATATATATTAAATATATGATATAAAATTTATTTATTAATTATATTATTTGTATTTCAAAAGAAAATAATATATAGCGTTTTTGAATGACACAGATTTAATCATTCTGAGAGCGATTATGCCTGTCATTCGAAAACGCTATACATCATTTTCTTTTATTAGCTTCAAATACTCCCTTTTAAAAATATTCATAGAATATTCCAAAACAATTCCACGAATATACGCAGAATGTTTTCTAAAAATTCATTTCATATCCATAGAATATTTAAGGAATATTATCAAAATATTATGGGAAGTGATTAGAAGATTCATATAATATTCTGCAGAATATTTATAGAACATTCACAGAACGTGACTTTTTGCCTACTTCTAATGTTCCATTGGAAGTTTATAGGAACTCCAATCATCACGTAAGAATATTCTATGAATATTCAAATTTGCTCTGATATTATTCTATGAATGTTCATATAACGTACTTGTGCTGTATGGGAATATATTATTATTATATATAATTATCTCTTTATAGTGACCCACAGACGTCTATATACTAGAAGTATATTGTTCGTGATGACAAACGGCAATAGATCGATACCTCAGTATATTAGAAAGTTTCGCTCGTAAGATTAAGTATATATTTTTTAGTTTTATATAAGTACCATATTTAATTATTCATACATATATACCTTTGCATTCATATTTAAATATACATACATATAATATTAATACATTTATATGCGAGTGTTTCAATATATCAAATTAATGTTATTATCACTGAGAATCTTTCGAATCGACTTTAGAACTTTCCTGATCGCCGAACTAGTTGTTCCGTTCTTTTCTTGTGTGCAATATATTGTAAACGTGTCATATTTAAATATGCATACATATAATATTAATACATTTATCACTCTATACCACTACACCCACACCTGCACAAGGCGCGCTCACTGCTGCGCAGTGCGCACCATATTCTGTGTAATCACTGCAAATATCCGCTTTATTTCGCGAGATCCAATATTTGGAGTTCGTCTTCCTCGATTTCGACATCATTGAGCTGGAAAAAATTAATATTAATTAAATATAATTATAATTTTGTATTATATATATTTTTTTTTTTTACTTAAAGTGCCATACTTACTAATTGGCGGAGGACCATGTTTTCGTTGCCTCTAGTCATCTTTTTTTTTTATCACTATATCGCAGGTACGATCGAGAGAAGAGATGATTCGATATCATTGAGCTGGAAAAAATTAATATTAATTAAATATAATTATAATTTTGTATTATATATAATTTTGTATTATATATATATTATATATATAATTTTGTATATATATATTTTTTTTTCTTTACTTAAAGTGCCATACTTACTAATTGGCGGAGAACCATGTTTTCGTTGCCTCTAGTCATCTTTTTTTTTTAACACTATATCACAGAAGAGATGATGCAAGAGAGAAGCGCGAAGGAGAGAGAGCCGGCGTGCCGCATCGACGGCTGCGAGAGATAGAATATAAAAAATTGACTTTTTTTATAATCAGAAATATATTAAAAATTTTTAATTAATAAAAAGAAAGAACTATATTATAATTTTATATTTATTTTATATATATTAATTTATTTTTTTTATATATTAACAGGGTGTCGCAATGAATGAAAAAACGAAAAGTTTATTTGTACATTATTTTTATATAACACGACACGTTAACAATATATTGCACACAAGAAAAGAACGGAACAACTAGTTCGGCGATCAGGAAAGTTCTAAAGTCGACTCGAAAGATTCTCAGTGATAATCCGAGAGTAGAATTATGGTCGCAAAATGATGTAACTCGGTGTTCAACGCAAATACGCCGGCGACCGGCAATTCACAGCTATCGCCGTCTCTCTCGCTCTCACGCGCGCGCACTTTCGATCCTTCTTACTTACAGACAACGACAATTATTACGCGATTCGTCTTATTCACTCACACATACCTTGCTCGACATTTTCGCAAACGCAGTTATACAAACACGAAATTAAGCGCGACAAAAATCTAGACGGCGCGACCAAAAGGTGTAAATCCGACCGACAACTTCCACATGGTACACCTTGAGTAACGCTAATGCCGGCGGTAATGTAAAAGTCAATTCTCTCTCTCTCTCTCTCTCTCCCCTTCCCCCCCAAGCCCCCCCCCCCCCCCCCCCCGGCTATATCGGGAGAGCAGAGGTCCCGTACCTTCATATTTCTATATATATTGTATATTATATTTTATATATTTTATGTCACAGGTCTTCCTTGCCCCGCTCCACACTCGAAGTTCTTGGGTTCTACTTATATGTATACTATGTAAAACGCGCATATAAAAATCTCGACTTTCGGGGAAACGAGGCCTTCTCTCTCTAAACACCAAACGAACAAGAATTCACAATAAATATACATCTCGCAATATACTCTTTTTATTAAACGTTGGCGTTCCGGACCTTTATATCCTGACTAACCGAATCACGGTGACGAGGAACGGTCGCTCGCGATCTCACATATCGGCGCGAAAACTTGCTCGCTCTCTCTATACATGACGATAAATTGCCCACAGTATTTATCAAAAGTGGGGTACGAAAACGACTCTTGGCTTTTCGAAAATTTGAAAATTTTGAGATGAAAATTTTGAAAATTTAAGATGGAAGTAGGCAGCGAGTAACCATGATCACATTGAAGAAAGCTTTTCGCCTGCGAGGACTACCGACAAGCAAATCAAAGATTGAATTGATTAGGTCTCAAAGAAGGTGGGCCGAATAATATGCTCGAAGAGCATCCGGACGTCGATGGGGACCCAGGAGCCTCGGAACATCGCGAATTGGAGGTTGGTGGGAAAGGGATGGAGGACGTTTCTCGCTTGAGACGTTCCGCCGTGATTTTCGCGCATATTTCGGCGTTACTCGCCCGCCCGAGAGCCTCGCGAGGATTCTTCATCGTCTCGAAGGGTATCCCGGCGTCGACGGGGCCCCGGGAGTCTCGAAACCTCGCGAATTCGCGGAGTTAGCGAGCTGGGCGAGGGGAAAGGGGAAAGGGACTATCGTTTGGGATATCGTTTTCGACTATATTTGGACTATATTTCGACATATACGGCGGCTCTCGTGCGGTATTTCGACATCATCCGCTCGAGGAGATGTTCCGCGACTGCTCCAGCATCTCCTGGAGTGCCCGAATATCGGAGAAAGTGTCCGAAAAGCTCAATTTCATCGAAACCGTCGATTCAAATTCTAGGGGAAGGGCGGCCATACCCCTCAATCGCTTGAGATACTGAGCTTTCGTGACTATCCGCGTAACGGTCATTGGCGCGCAAGTGTTACTTCCCCATGAGACTTCAGTTCCTTCGCGATGCTACGAAATAACGTGGCGCGCCGGGAGATGTCTCCTTATGTCCATATGTTTCCTTGGTTCCAAGCAACTGGTATTGCTATGTAGTTGTTACTACCTATTTTAAATAAAAATTTGAAGCTGTCATTCCAGCGCCTGTTTTGTTCTAGCGCATGCGCATAGAGCACGAATAGGAATATATATCTTTCTCTCTCATACAGATCTTATGGATACTTTTGTTTCCCGAAAAGTAATGCCATTCCATTTCTATATGTTCTAAGGTCGTGTTGCTAAGGCACGAGAAATAAGAGGGGAACAATAAGCATATGTCAAAAAATCTAGTCGAAAGCCAATAAATCCCGTCACTGACGTACAAATTAATCAATCGATTAATTAAAAAATTTGCCATATGCTAAAGTTCATATAATTATAAAAAAATTAGCATTATTTTGCAATGTCCTACGATTCCTCCGATTTATCTCAGAACAGATAATCAACCAAATGAATAAATAAACCGAAGAATTTGTTCAATTGTTAAAACCATTTGAAGATACAACAAGAATCACATGAAACCATGGTGAATATTATCCCGTTGTGGAATAAATCGTAAATATTTTGAAAAATATTTTTGATATGCATAAATGAAGCCGTACGGCGGGCGGTGAACAAAGAGCGGCGAAAACTGAACCGACGACCCGGACCTGCAGTTCCCGCACAAAAATATATGCCCGGGCCACCCGGAGGTTATATACCTGCACCAGGATATGTAACTGGCGCAGGAGAATACGCTCCCGCGCCAGGATATGTGCCCGGTGCCGCAGGATACATGCCGGCACCGGGATATGTGCCTGGTGCAGTAGGGTACGCTCCCGCGTCAGGTTATGTGCCCGGTGCTGCAGGATACGTACCTGCACCGGGATACATGCCCGGGCCTGCAGAATACGTACCTGCACCGGGATATACGCCCGGGCCATCTGCGGGATACCATATATGCGGGACGACACCATATATGTACTATAAGTAGAGTAAAGGTACCGATTCATCTCATAATCATACTGAAAGGAATCAGCCGATCGGCTGATTGCGCACGCGCCAATCGGACAGCTAACTGTCACCAGTAACTGCTGCCCTCGGCGCCGAGCGAAAAGGGCGCAAACTAAAGCAGCGCGCGCGGGAGAGACAAAGGGCATTTAAGCAAGCGAGCTGAGAAACCCGGTACTCTCTTTCAAGAAGTATACCTAAGCAGTCGAAAATTTTGTATACAAGAGTCTTTAAAAATAAAAGTAGTCTTTGTCTTTAACAGTAATCTCAGTATTTTTCTATAGTGACTTTGAAACATCCTTGCTTTGATCCTTCGCATATCCGCGCTTTCGCTAAGATCAGTTTAAATTTATAACGGTCATCCTTAGATGTTTATTAAATAATAATTCGCTTAAATAATCATTTCTTACAATAGCGTATTCTTTTTCGCGCCTGCGATCATTCGGATATATTAGCTATTTTGTGTACTTGCGCGAAGAACGTCCCGCGGAATAGATATCAGGAATAAATCGCGCGGAACATATTATAGTTTACGGGAGATTGTGTAGTGCCGCGGTTATTAGAATCAATCACTTCGCACGGACCGTAGTAAGTCTCTTGCGTGAATAATTATTCGCCACGTATACGAACAAGTTTACTCCCGGGTTCCGCGTGTCACCAGATATCTCCGCGTCGGGTCATCCAAAAGGTCGCGGAATCATAACACCGCGCCACGTGTCAGCAGCCGTACTCTCGCTGTACCTTATCTTTACGACTGTAATATCCGATTTCGATCGCTTTGGATTTCGGCGTCCTATAGAACTCGCCGCCCGTCACGAACGACAAGTGCGCGGAATTTAATTAATATCTTATCGCAAGAATATTATTTTTTTGTATGCAATATTACCCTAACAATTATATTTTTTTGTTATTTATTCGCATCATTGTTCAAATATATTCAATTAATATTACACTTTGGGAATTCTAAATAGCCACTCTCGAACTCCGTTCTCTCTCCTGTCCGAACTCCCCCCTCTACCCCCTGACGCTCTGAGCGAGTCGAGTATTGCCGTCGCGAAACTTTCGGGATGTTTTAAGATTTACGGAAGATCTTTTCCTAATTATGAATTTTTAGAGTAGCGCGAATCTCGCGCCTGGCGCCCAGGCAAACGAAAATTTATTGTGTCTTCGCAAATTTCCCGCTTTCCGCGCCGAAGATGTGTCGGCCCATTACATCGGCCTTACTTTTCGGATAACTAGTTATCCGACCGAATGAAAGAATTACGGTTACAATATATAATGCAAATAAATTTCGTGTATCAATCAATTTTACATAATACTCTTTTTTTTGGAAGTTATATTAAAATCAATATATCATAAATAAGTCACCAAAACATAGCCAAAATGTATCAAATAAGATCATTGTGATTTAGTGACGTCATAATGATGTCATAAGTTTTGTGTTCTACCTGGGAACGGATATCCAAATCATACGCATTCCTCACATCGCATGTTTCAACGGTTGTGTCAAAAATTAAGAGAAATCAGAAATTTGGTTGCGCGAACAAGTAAACGTCAAAAAAGAACATGTCATGAAGACAATAAAAATAATGTGCTTGCTATAGTGCATGTTAATCCTCAGATTAATTCACATCAGTTAAAACGCAAATTTGACATTAGTAAAAGTAATGAATTCTTACTAAATATAAATTCCATTCATACCATATAAAGAAAGTAACCAACTCTAAGCGTTTTAGAAAAATTTTAAGGGCCATTCTACAATAGGTTGCAAATATCCTCGTTGCTAGTTGATAGTTGCAAATTAACCAATCAGCTGACAAGTCGCTTTGCTCTGATTGGTCAATCGGCAATTGTCAACTAGCAACGAGAATATTTGCAACTTATTGTAAAATGGTCCTGAAGCGAGGTCTACAATGGCAGCAGAAGTACAGAGTACAAAAGTAAGTAATAAGCGTAACTTCGTTACTCCCGACGAAATGAGCGAATCCCATTTCGTACTGCTTACTCTTGTACTCTGTACTCCTGCTGCCATTGTAGATCCCGCTTTAGAGACACGCGAATTGTGATGCAGGGTCTACCATAGAGTCTCAAAGTCACAAGAAATCACAACTCACAAGAAATTGACCAATAGTCGAGTATGAAAAGAATAATCGATTCTGGTTGGTCAATTTCCTACGTGAGCACGACTTTACGACTCCATTGTAGACCCCGCATGATGGTTTGAAAAAATACAGCAATTTCTACGATGCTGTTGATGTGTGTGTGAGATTTTTACTTTATCAGTATGTCTAATATCAGAAATATTCTTTCAAAGTCAGCCATTAATCGATCCCGACGTTATAATCAGTTCGCGTGTCTCTTACTTGAGGTTCTCTAATTTAAAGTGCCGCTTCATCGAAATATGTATTTATCCATTTCGAAATCTAGAATTTTTAACATGTTTTCTCAACTCTGACGTCACAAGAAAAGAAGCGCCTTCCTTACTCCTTTGACTCACTCATTGCACACTTGAAACATGTAAGAGATATTATTTATTATAACAAAGGTATAGGCCAATAATAATACAATTTATTTGTTTCAGGCAAGAAGCCTTTCAGATCTCACAATAGGGAAAGGTTTCGTAAACATGAAAAAAAGGAGTGAAGTGCGCAAGAAAAGAAGGAATCTGAGTGAGACTGTGGACGCGTTATGGAAAAATCATAGTAAAGATGTATTAAACTTGAAAAATTTATTTGACCAGAACCCGATTTCTCGCATAAAAAAAGCGAAGCAGACTCTTCTAGCCGCGCTGCGTGGTGTACTCCGGAATCCGTACCAGTTCAGAAAAGGATATACTTGGGCAGACCAGAGAACCAGAAGGATCCGCAGGCAATATTACCAAGTCATCACCAACCCGCTCAAACAGTAATCGCGCAAGCCCCAAAGCCGAAAAACAAACGGGCACTTCCTAAGGCCATTAATCAGCCAACTAGATTAGCCGCGAGCATGTCAAAAAACGTGCAGCCAATGAGGGATGATCCGACGAAAAACGCAGTGTTTATCTCGTCCATATCAGTTAAGGAAACGAACAACGATACCAGATTCGATTTCACAGCCCCAACACTCATTGAGGTGGCCAGACTGTGCTATGCAGAATATGTAGCAGACGACGTGAACACAGAATCGATACTCCCAGAGTACTTTAACTACTATACCACAGCAATGCTTTGGCTAAGATTCATATCTCTCAAAGTCAAGTTGCGCCAGACAATCACACCAGCAGAGCTTAAATCAGTTGGATCCACACAGACTATAACTCGGGAGCACCTCACTCCAGCAATATCAGACCTATCCACACAAGCCATCGGACACGGTGGTGGCTACTACGGAGCAATCACTGAAGATAATCACAATTTATATAAAAAGATACTTTGTATGGATGTGACGAGCAAAGCTATCAGACGCGCCATCAGCAATGATGCGTCAAACCCATAAGAATCCATAAAGCTCCATAAGGACACAAGCATTGTATATTAACCGATATCCAAATCGTATTCCGTTCCTCACACCGCATGTTTTACGGTTGTCTGAAGCCTGATCTACAATGTGCTCTTTGCGTTGTCTTTCGTGTTCTTTGTTCTCTGCACAATGTTTCTTCTCTTTTTGTTGCCTGAGATAAAAGTGGACGAACTCTACTTTGTCGGTAAAATACCCAGTGTGAATTGATGGTCGAATCGACGTCAATTCATTGTCGAATCGATGTCAAATTCGTCGAATCGATGACAATTCGACCAATCATTTCTCACTGGGTAAAGCACAAAGAAGCAAGAAAACAAGAGGGCAAAGAGCACATTGTAGATCAGGCTTTAAAAATTAAGAGAAATCGAAAGTTTGACTGCACGAACAAGTAAACGTCAAAAAAGAACATGTCATGAAAACAATAAAATTTTTTGTATTACACGTGCAGGCAATGTGGCACTTTCGGTGCATGTTTTCTGTGCCGAAAGTGGCCAATTTCCCCCGACGCCATTTAGCGGCGACGCGGTGAGTGAATAAGCCGGTTTCAAAGCCATTATCTACGGCTGAGCCGCGTTAAAAGTCATTGTATACGGCTCAAGCCGTAAGAAATGTATTGAAACCGGCTATTCCCCCACCGTGCCGCGGCAAGATGGCGGCGTGCGATCGGCCGCCTCGTGCACACAAAACGCGCCGAAACAGCCACTTTGCCTGCACTTGCAATACAAAATAGTATGTGTATCAAGTGCGGATTGACAATTGTTCACTCGTATGGGGTGGTCGCACTCGCCTTCGGCTCGTGCGTCCATCCCCCGCACTCGTGACCAATTGTCAACTTTTCGCACTTGATACACAATATACTATTATTATAATTATCTCTTTATAGTGACTCACAGACGTCTATATACTAGAAGTATATTGTTCGTGATGACAAACGGCAATATATCGATACCTCAGTATATTAGAAAGTTTCGCTCGTAAGGTTAAGTATATATTTTTTAGTTTTATAAGTACCATATTTAATTATTCATACATATATACCTTTGCATTCATATTTAAATATGCATACATATAATATTAATACATTTATATGCGAGTGTTTCAATATATCAAATTAATGTTACAGTGCTCGACAATATTTTATTTTATTATCTTTTCAAGGGCATTGGAAATAAGGGCTAAATCTTCAGGTAAGGTGTGAATGTAGACTTGTCCACTTCCACCTTTAAAATTCTTGAATATTAGAGACCCAGACAGCACCAAGTCTAAAATTGACGCATAAGATATCATTAAGAAATCCCAGGCAATCATGCAGAAACCGATTGCCGATACAAATCCGATCGACAAGAAGGGAGAAATCTATTCCTACGGGAATTTTAGAGAATAAAATTCTGCCTTCGGCTTTGGAGTAGTTTTCACTCCAAACCTAGTATTGTTCAAACCATTATGTAAATAATTTTAATTCCCGAAATTTTATTATGTACATAATATTAATTGATCAAATTTCTATTATGTACAATTTCAATTATTTACATAATAGAACGGCGAATTAAAATTATGTATATATAATAAAAAATTAAAATTGTGTGCATAATAAAAATTCGACAAATTAAAATTATGTACATAATAGAAAATCGGGAATTAAAATTATGTATTCCCTCATAATAAAATTATGTACATAATTGATATTCGGCGAATTAAAATTATGTACTTTGCTGATTATATATTATTTATTATTTACGCGTTGAAAACTCCCGCGCGTAGTAATACATGAAATCGGCCGATTCTGACGTGGCGATTCTGGCGAATCGGCCGATTCTGGCGCGATCGCGTAATTTAGTGTATTTCTTTAGCGTATGGGCTAAGCCCGTTATTGGAATTAAATTCGAGTTTGTGATTTCACGAGAGCTATCGTGGTCAAGCAGCGAGGAATTTCGAGAATCTTTACGCGTCGTAGTTATCTTCGCGATTTACGTTTCTCGAAGGTTTATTGTCGTCGCGCCATCTCGATTTTTGTCGCGCTTAATTTCGTGTTTGTATAAATATATAAAAATAATGTACAAATAAACTTTGTCGTTTTCCCATCCATTGCGACACCCTGTTAATATATAAAAAAAATTAATTAATATATATAAAATAAATATAAAATTGTAATATAGTTCTTTCTTTTTATAAATATAAAATTTTTAATATATTTCTGTTTTTATAAAAAAAGTAAATTTTTTATATTCTATCTCTCGCAGCCGTCGATGCGGCACGCCGGCTCTCTCTCTCCTTCGCGCTTCTCTTGCATCTTCTCTTCTCTCGATCGTACCTGCGATATAGTGTCAAAAAAAAGATGACTAGAGGCAAAACGAAAACATGGTCCTCCGCCAATTAGTAAGTATGGCACTTTAAGTATAGAAAAAAATATATATATAATATAAAATTATAATTATTTTTATTTAATGTTAATTTTTTCCAGCTCAATAATGTCGAAATCGAGAAAGACGAACTCTGAATATTAGATCTCAGCGGATATTCGCAGTGATTACGCAGAACATGGTGCGCACTGCGTAGCAGTGGGCGCGCCTTGTGCAGGTGTGGGTGCAGTGGTATAGAGCGCAAAGGCGGGAGCCACGGCGCCCGTGAAGTGACCACGGTGGAGGCTACTGAGGGGGCGACGTCCAGTATCTTCGCGATCTAGAGACGCCCTAACCACCGCCGTCGCCTCTGCCGCTGTCACCGTAGCAACCTTTATGGCCATAATCACCTCTTTCAGCATTAAGGTTTTATTTTTATTTTTCATCTTTTATATCTTTATTTTTATATTTTTTATATTTTTTATCTCCCCCCCCCCGCTATATCGAGAGAGCAGAGGTCCCGTACCTTCATATTTCTATATATATTGTATATTATATTTTATATTTTATTTTATTTCACAGGTCTTCCTTGCCCCGCTCCCCCTCGGAGCTCTTGGATTCTACTTATATGTATACTGGGTGCGTTCCGTTTTGCGCATAGTACGCATTGCTTACATCGCTAATGCTTAGCGCATTGGTTGCGTTTCGTTTCATTATACGCACGATGCATGCTTTGAAACGGAACGATATTGAACGCATTGGAAGTGGGAAATTAAAATGGATTCCACAATAAATTGCGCTGTCAATGTGACAACGTTTTTAATTGATGAAATGAGTGACATGAGTAGCGAATTATCAAGTTGCAGTTCTGATGATTATGAAATGAGTGACGAAGAATATGATAGTTCAAGTACAGGCTATGAATTAGAAATTTTATATTCAGTTTTAATGGTGGGCGAAACACGTGGAGAAACAGTTTATAAAGAAGATTTTGTTGAGAGAGTTATTCCTGGATACACGAGACGCGTATTCAAAGAACATTTTCGGTAAGTGTAAATATTTTCATACATATTTTTAACTTGATTGATGTTTTAAAATATTTATAAAAAGTCTGTACATTATACTTATTTTCCATATTGAATTTTTGTTTACTAATGTAAAAATAATGTCAAAAAATTACAACATTAGCAATTTTATATCTTACAGAATGTTTCCAGAAACATTTGAAGTAGTGTTACAATTAATCGGGCCAGGATTAAGAGCCATAGATGCATTGCCTGGAAGAAAACCAATTTCTGCTCAAAAACAACTCCTCATTGCAATTTGGTTCATGTCCACTCCTGACTCTTATAGGTATCTCATACATTAAAATTATTAATATAAATTTAAAGAAAAAAATGGATATAATGGATATAATAGAACTTCTGTGTAAAATTTCAAGTCAATCGGGGGCAGGAGTTATTTGGAAGTACACCCAAAAAATAAATTATTAATTATTTAATAGTAATATTTTATTAATATTATATTATTGTCTTCAGGTCTGTATCGACGAAATTCGGAGTTGGAAAAGCAACTGCATTTAGAGCATTAAGACGAGTAACATATGCTCTACATTGCATTGCTCCTCAGTTTATTCAATGGCCTAAAAATGCAGTTGCCACAAAAGTAATGGAGAAATTTGAACAAGCTTGTGGTGGTTTTCCAAAAGTAATAGGTGCTATTGATGGCACTCACATTAAGATTCGTGCTCCAAAAGAAGATCCAGACTCGTACATAAACAGGAAAGGCTTTCACTCAATAAATGTACAAGTTGTCTGTGATTCGTTTGGACTTTTCACCCATTGCTACGCCGGGCATGTGGGATCTGTGCACGATGCAAGAGTTTTTCGGAATTCACCAGTGGCAGATTTTCTTCAATTACATGAAATTTACTTTCCCGATAATTCTCATATTATTGGAGATGCTGCGTACGGTATTCATCCACATGTCATGGTACCTTTTAGAAATAATGGTCATTTAACTAATGCGCAAAAAAATTTTAACTATTGTCTGTCATCTACGCGAATGGCAATTGAACGAGCAATAGGTCATCTGAAAGTTCGTTTTAGAATTCTCTTAGACTGTTTACCTTTAACAGACACCCTACAAATTCCCGAATTTATTTTGGCCTGTTGTGTATTACACAACATTTGTATTTTGCAAAATGATATAATCGAACTGTTGGGTATATGTACAAATGAAGAAGAAGAAGTAAGACCTATTTTACATGATAATGCAGTTGAATTAGGAAATGTTAAAAGAATTGAAATTATGAATGCTTTACCGAGGAAAATATAATATTAAAGTGTATGTAGTATACTCGACAACATTATGTATATAATAATAAAAATGTGTATATTAAATAATAAACAATTTTAACATTGATTTTGATTATTTATTATTTTATTATAAATCCATGCATACAACTTTGGTATAAAATTATAATTCCCATATTGAAGTTATTATTATGCAATGTATAAGTATAAAAATATTAATAAACACCAAGTTTTAACTTGGTACTTATTGTTAGGAGGTAAAACTGTACTCTATTTACAAAGTACTTGTAATATAAAACTAAAAATAACAATAAACTGAACATTATTTTAATATCAATATAATTCTTTGTTCACAAGTGATTGCAACAGCTTTTGATCTGTAACAGCAGATAGTATTAAAAATATAATTTATATATACACCCAATAATCAAATAAATATAAAAATAATCCCTTATAAAAAAACATTTTTTGGAAATTGCGAAAATACATCTAATTGGTAATTTTAATTCGATATTACGGAAACTGTCAATTGGGAGTATTTTCATAACTTTCAAAACTTTTTTCTGTAAGAAATGTCCATTTATTTATGTTTCTTTTAAATAACCTTAAAATATATTCGGCTGAATGTTACCTGTTTGAACTCTATTAATTAGTTCTTGAGTAAGAAATAATGTAATGACGCTCTGCGTTTCTTCAAGAAAGACTGGGAATTCGATCAATGACTCTTCCATATTTTGACACTGATGCTTTCTTGTAGAACTACAAGTCAACTTTTCACTTTTCAAATATCGCTATCAATCGTCATATACAATCGCACAGAACGCATAAGCTGCTGCAATTCAAACTTGAGGTAGCTGATGCGTGTATTATGCGCTGCAGATAGTGGGGATCTAGGGAATTCTAAGCGCTGTTCATGCGCGCATTGAGTGAAACGGAATGTTTTCTATGTAATTTGTGCGCATAATGTGCGAAACGGAACGCAACCACTATGTAAAACGCGCATATAAAAATCTCGACTTTCGGGGAAACGAGGCCTTCTCTCTCTAAACACCAAACGAACAAGAATTCACAATAAATATACATTTCGCAATATACTCTTTTTATTAAACGTTGGCGTTCCGGACCTTTATATCCTGACTAACCGAATCACGGTGACAAGGAACGGTCGCTCGCGATCTCACATATCGGCGCGAAAACTTGCTCGCTCTCTCTATACATGACGATAAATTGCCCACAGTATTTATCAGAAGTGGGGTACGAAAACGACTCTTGGCTTTTCGAAAATTTGAAAATTTTGAGATGAAAATTTTGAAAATTTAAGATGGAAGTAGGCAGCGAGTAACCATGATCACATTGAAGAAGGCTTTTCGCCTGCGAGGACTACCGACAAGCAAATCAAAGATTGAATTGATTAGATCTCAAAGAAGGTGGGCCGAATAATATGCTCGAAGAGCATCCGGACGTCGATGGGGACCCAGGAGCCTCGGAACATCGCGAATTGGAGGTTGGTGGGAAAGGGATGGAGGACGTTTCTCGCTTGAGACGTTCCGCCGTGATTTTCGCGCATATTTCGGCGTTACTCGCTCGCCCGAGAGCCTCGCGAGGATTCTTCATCCTCTCGAAGGGTATCCCGGCGTCGACGGGACCCCGGGAGTCTCGAAACATCGCGAATTCGCGGAGTTAGCGAGCTGGGCGAGGGGAAAGGGAAAGGGACTATCGTTTGAGATATCGTTTTCGACTATATTTGGACTATATTTCGACATATACGGCGGCTCTCGTGCGGTATTTCGACATCATCCGCTCGAGGAGATGTTCCGCGAATGTTCCAGCATCTCCTGGAGTGCCCGAATATCGGAGAAAGTGTCCGAGAAGCTCAATTTCATCGAAACCGTCGATTCAAATTCTAGGGGAAGGGCGGTCATTCATATCCCTTAATCGCTTGAGATACTGAGCTTTCGTGATTATCCGCGTAACGGTCATTGGCGCGCAAGTGTTACTTCCCCATGAGACTTCAGTTCCTTCGTGATTAGAGTTTCTAATCCCGGGATACCGAATCCCGGGATCTCGGGATCCCGATCAATTTTACAATCTCGAAAATCCTCGGGATTCATCACCATAAATCCCGAAATTTCGGGATTTGCAGTTTCAGTAATTAATACTTATATAATATATTGATGTATACAAAAATTATACTTTAATAATTATTTCTAGTTTATCATTATCAATTATCAATATTTTTAATTGATATTTTAATGTGTTTATTAAAGATATATTTAATATATTTAATGTGTCCATATTTAAAACTTAGTTCCGAGTAAGAATCACTTATTTTTTTCACATATTGATGGAGCTTTTTATTTTAAATTTTGCGAGACAATAGACGTGACGCAAGATGCAACGCCATCGTCAGGGAAAAGATATGAAACATGTTTAATAGGCTAATAACTCGCGTACCGATACCTAACCTATCTGTGCTATTTACCGGTGCGATGTGCAATAAATAATAGGTTAGATTAGGAGTATTTGTTTATAGAGAGAGAGTATTTCTTATATTATATTATATAATTATATATAATTTATATAACTAATTTTATAACATGGAGCAACAAGATATTGTGTATATTCCACATAAAAAAGATAAATGTGACACATCCATATGGTATTATTTTTTGAAAGCTGTAAATGGAAATACTGCAAAGTGCAAGCAATGTAACGCCGTATTGAAGACCCTTGGTGGCAGTACAAAAGGTTTACATACTCATTTAATGGCTAAACATAACAAAAAAGTTAATAATGCTAACACTTTAAACTTGCCTGAAACTGAAATACTACCAAAGAAACGAAAAATCTCTAATTATTTTATACCTTTTGAAAAATCTTCATTAGATGCAGTTTTAGCTCGGATGACTGCTTTAGATGGATTGTCATTTAATCTTTTTGTCAAATCACATGATTTAAGACAACTTTTAATATCAAAAGGCTATAATGATTTACCTACTTCTGTCACTGCCATACGCAATAGAGTTATTAATTATTCATTGCAAATACGAGAGCATGTAATTAAAGAAATAAGTCAGTATAAAGCAACCGGGAAACGCTTTTCATTAACTTTTGACGAATGGACATCCACAGCTAATAAGCGATATATGAATATTAATATACATTGCAAAGAGAAATTTTGGAGTTTAGGTCTTATTCGTGTGCACGGATCTATGTCTGCCGAAAGATGTAAACATATTTTGCAGCAATGTTTATATGAACACAGCATTTCACTTACAAAAGACATCGTTGCCATTGTCACAGATGGCCCTAACGTAATGCTGAAAGTTGGAAAAATAGTAAAAGCTGAACATCATTTATGTCTGGCACATGGTATACATCTAGCAGTTTGCGATGTTCTTTATAATAAAAATAAAGACATTGTAGTATCTCAAACTCTAACGAAGGAAATAGCTGTTTCACAAGTAGAAGACGACTGTTCCGGCGACGATGATGATATTAATAAAGATGATGAAGACATTGAAGACTTTACATGTCCGCAGATGGGATTAGATTTTGAACCAATCCATAAAGACATTGAAATATCAAATCACAATGAAATTAATATTAACGAGCTAGTGAAGAAAATACGTAAAACTGTTGTCTTATTCAAGAGATCTCCAACAAAAAACGATTCTATTTTACAAAAATATGTAAAATCTGAAAAAGGTAAAGAGTTAACTCTGCTTTTAGATTGCAAAACACGATGGAATTCTCTTTTAACAATGCTTGAACGTTTTCTTTTTCTTAAAACATGCATACAAAAAGCTTTGATTGATTTAAAATCTCCTATTACCTTTGAGGAAAATGATTTTAACATCATTTCTGATATAGTGGATATGCTTACTCCAGTAAAATTAGCTGTAGAGGCGTTATGTCGTCATGATGCAAATTTGTGTACAGCAGATGCAGTTCTCAAACTTCTCATGTTTGAAATATCTAAAAAGAAGTCATCTTTAGCTCAAAATATGTTTCAAGCTCTAAAGAAGAGAATTAGTCAAAGAAGAAAAGAAGAATTATCCGGAGTCTTACAATATTTACACAACCCAACATGCGATGGCGATGATGAATGTATATTTGAATTATTTACTTTACCTAATCAAACAGTCATTAGAAAACAGTTACAAAAAATTATAGAAAGATTAAATGATGAAAATTATTGCGAGAATACAGATATAAACAAAGAAAATGAAAATAAAACTGAGACTGAGACTGAAACTAAGATAGAAACGGAAACATTAACTTTAAAAGAAAAATTTCAGCAACAAATTGAAAAAAGTATGCAAGTAATAAAACCAGATACTCGAATATCTAATGATTTGGTATCTATTTTAAGAAAAGAAATGGCTCTTTTTGAATCAGTTGGAAACAGAGGACACCATCTTGAATTGGCATATCAATATTTAATGACAATACCCCCAACAAGTGTGGAACCTGAACGAGCATTCTCAGCAGCAGGATGTATTGGAAGCAAAATTAGAAGTCGACTTGGAGATGTCACTTTAAATGCATTATTATTTTTAAGATCGTTTTTTCAAAACCAAAGAAAGGATTAAGAAAATTTTTATTTTTACCTGTTTAAAATGTGATAACTTACAATTATAGTTAATAGTTATTATAACTGTTAAAAAGTTTTAGTTTTATATTTTAATATATATACATTAAGTATATATGTATAAGTATTTTATTCGTTTATGTTCCTAAAAAGTTTCAGAGTGTAATGTTTTATATTTTTAAAATTTTCAAAGTTGCGAGTTGCAAAAAGTTATTTTATTTTATTATTTTTTTTAAAGATTTCTTCTAATAAGTACATAAAAATAACATAACATAGTTATCTTTGATTTTAGTACTTAAAAATGACAAATTAGTAATTAAGAGGATAAACATAAATTTATTTTTTTTTGTTAATTAATAAAGTTATAATTTCTTAAATATTATTATTATTTTTGCTCCATATGTATAAACCCGGGACTAGTCCCGGGATCCCGAGATTGAGTGCAAAAAATCCCGTAATCCCGGAATTTTAAATGTCTTCGGGATTGGAAACTCTATTCGTGATGCTACGAAATAACGCGCGCCGGGAGATGTCTCCTTATGTCCATATGTTTCCTTGTTTCCAAGCAACTGGTATTGCTATGTAGTTGTTACTACCTATTTTAAATAAAAATTTGAAGCTGTCATTCCAGCGCCTGTTTTGTTCTAGCGCATGCGCATACAGCACGAATAGGAATATATATCTTTCTCTCTCATACAGATCTTATGGATACTTTGTTTCCCGAAAAGTAATGCCATTCCATTTCTATATGTTCTAAGGTCGTGTTGCTAAGGCACGAGAAATAAGAGGGGAACAATAAGCATATGTCAAAAATCTAGTCGAAAGCCAATAAATCCCGTCACTGACGTACAAATTAATCAATCGATTAATTAAAAAATTTGCCATATGCTAAAGTTCATATAATTATAAAAAAAATTAGCATTATTTGCAATGTCCTACGATTCCTCCGATTTATCTCAGAACAGATAATCAACCAAATGAATAAATGAACCGAAGAATTTGTTCAATTGTTAAAACCATTTGAAGATACAACAAGAATCACATGAAACCATGGTGAATATTATCCCGTTGTGGAATAAATCGTAAATATTTTGAAAAATATTTTTGATATGCATAAATGAGGCCGTACGGCGGGCGGTGAACAAAGAGCGGCGAAAACTGAACCGACGACCCGGACCTGCAGTTCCCGCACAAAAATATATGCCCGGGCCACCCGGAGGTAATATTCCTGCACCAGGATATGTAACTGGCAGAGGAGGATACGCTCCCGCGCCAGGATATGTCCAACATTCATATCTAAATACCTTAATAATTAAGACATTACGGACGATTGATGAGATATATCTCGTTTTTCATATTCTACCATCAGAGATGGTTCAATTATAATTCAGGAACAATAAGTAGCAATAACTAGAAGTTTTTGTGATTTTCATATGAATTAATTTTCTAAACCGTCTAAATATGGATCACAAAGTAAATTAACGATATTACAAAAAATATTTGCGGACAGTTTATCAGAAATATCAAATGAATATGCATATTGAAAATGATTTTGACTCTCCAATCTGTCTAAGTTTCTATTTTAACAACTCTCATATTTGTATTGATCTACTTGTATTTAATTATTAATACACAACAAACTTTACTGAAATTTATTCAATCTTATCATCTTATTTAATCTTATAGATTTATTATTTTTCAAAATTTTTAAATATTTGAAAAATATATTTTCCGACATTATTAAAAATAAATAAAAGAATTTTTTGGACCTGCTAAAGTAGACTAATTTCTAAAAATATTATATAAAACAGATATACATCAATATTATATAGAACTTTGTATAAAAACTGTTATAATATACTATTATATAGAAATTGTTGCCACACTATATTTGATAACAAAAATTATAATAAAAATTCAAATTGTTATTTAATTAGTAGCGATATAGAATCTCATTAAAATTAAATAATTCAATAAATTTCAGAATTAAATTCTATCGTTTTAAATTTTTAAATTATTTTATAATAAATAAGTTCATCATTTATATAAGTAGAAGAGTTATAACTTAATTCTGCGACTTAATTTTGCAGATTAATTTTAAAATGATTGTAAAATAACTGATTAACAAAACACTCTAATTGTACTAATTCTTTTAATATTTATACTAAAGAGAGAAATTCTCCCGCGCAAATTTCCCATTATTTTGAGTAAAAAATTTTTAGGGAAGATTCTTAATATTTACCAATTAATATCAATACAATTAATAATTAATGTATTAATTTGCATCAAATTAACCCGTTAGCTCGGACTAGTCAAATGCTTATTGATTAATATATATGTTAGAAAAAAATAATTTTAAATGTGGACATTACACTTGACAATTAATATTCAAACATATTATAATCGAATGGTAATTATTCGCATCTTATAATTAACCAAACAAGAACATGCGACATACCATTATTCTGCTGAGATACCTCAACTTCATAGGAAGAATATATCTGTTGAACAATAAATCCATTACTTTATCTTCTTTGCATGCAATCACGAACAGCATTTTCGGCCAATGAAAAATTTTTCTCGGATTACGACGCAAAATGTCTTTCATTGGAGTAAAACGGTAGTTTCAACAATCAGAGTGCTGGATCAGTTCAATTTCGCTTGCATATATATGATGCTTCTTCGTCTATTTTGTAGATTTCTTTTAGACTTCGACTTTCCAGGATCTCTACACAAAATATTTTATATTTAGTAAAAATTAAATAATAATTTTATAATAACTATTTAAGGCTCCTGACTCTTCGCCAACTATGTTGGAATTATGACATCAGAGGTGAGAAAACATGTTGAAAATTCTTAGATGCCATTTTGAAATAAAATAATATTTTAATGAAACAATACTTCAGATGGCTTTAGCACATTCTTAAAATATCCCGAAAAATATTATTTTTCCTTTATAATCAATCAATAGCCGAAAAATGACTAATATGAGACCCAGTCCATCTTTATACGTGCGCAGTTATTTCATGACAAAGTCTTAAAGATCATTTTACAGTTGTTGATTAATTGTTAAGGGACAAAACATTTGGTAGACGAGGTATTTTAAGAGTGTACTAAAGTTATTGAAACAGAAGTAGTATATCAATAAAAACTTTTCAATTAAAAATGGCATCTAAGAATTTTCAGCGTGTGCTTTCTCGCCTCTGACGTCACAATCCAACAAGTCCACGACGAGGATCTAAGAACCTTAAAGATCATCATATAAGAAACATATTCTTATCTTAAAAATTTCTGAATTTTTTATTTCATAAAAAAGAAATTAGTTTATTTAAAATTAATTTATAACTAAATTAACCAAAAAGATATATTTTTTATAATATAAAAATTAAAAAATAAATAATATCAAACATTTGTTTTTAAATAAATAAAATGTTGTATAAAAAAACATTCGTCATTACGGCATGCTCTTTTATAAATGCACATAAAGCCGACTTTACACGATGTATAATTCGCAACAGAATTCCGGACAGAATTCTATTTATAATTTTATGTATCAAATTATGAATATAATTATTTATGAGAAAAAAATTTTATATTACACAAACCATAATTTGATTTAAAATTATGTATATAAAATATTTGATTGTAATTGATATATTTTCCTACATATAAGCATGATATTTCATATTTTTTATATTCACTTAATAAACATGTATAACTTACTCCCGGGACCAAGACATGTCACGTATAATTTTCTTTTTTTTCTGCTTTAAATTATCAATCAAATACAAAAGATTAAGTTGTAGTTTATATCATTTACAATTCACCAATCACAAATATTTGTACACTACGCATATTTGATGCGTCTTTTCTATTCATAAAAATAAAAATAGAGCATTCTAGTTATAATTTAACTGTCACGTGCTTTCTGTATTACACGATGCATAAAATTTATAAATAAAAAATTATGTCTCGAATTCTGTCGCGAATTATAGATCGTGTAAAGTGGACTTAATATAAATATTTACTTACCTTCTGTACAAATAAACATAATATAGAGTCCGTTACTGTCTTTGAACACGTTTAAATATGTTAGGTGTATTTTGTACAAATCTTCCTTTTCTTGCGGATAAATCTATGCATGATGAGAAGCAAATGTCAATAACGACAATGTTAATCAGATCCGTTTACTTTCCACCAAAATTGAACAAAAAATTGCAGAGTAAATTATGAAGTCGTGTTCTGAAAATATAATAAGCACGAAATGTACTTGATTAATAATAAGTAATATACATATATGATGTTTATACAGGATGTCTGACATAAGGTATCATACAGAAAATATACACATAGATCTTATAATTTGAAGACAATTTTTCCTCAGCAAAAATATTGAGAGATTAATAATTTTCGAGTTATAAGCGATTGAAAATAAAGAGTTTTTCGCAAGCTAACCTTGTGGAAATAAAATATTAATAAAACCACATTCTTCAATTTATTTCAAATAGAGTTTATTTTAATTAATTTTAAGTTTAGTTATAAAGATACATGATGACAAAAATTGGGAACATGCAAAAAATGATGGCCTCCCTCGACATTTTTGCTGAGGAAAAATCGTTTCCAAATAACGAGACTTACTTATATATTTCCAGTGTGACATTTGTCAGACACCATGTATATGATGTATGACAGAAAACTAAGTCAAGTCGATCTTTAATACTTGACAACAAGAAAATACTTCTGACTGGCAAGAAGACCATTATTGATTAGTAAAAGCCACATTAAACTATGAAGAGAAACATAATACACACATTTATACTTTGACGATGAAGATATACTTTCTAATTCTATTAAAATGTTATAAAACTTGATATACTAACTACAATACATTATTCACTTTTTTTTGCATACCTGCGATATTTTTGCTCAGCATCTACGCAATTTTTCATTGGTTCATTTGGTCAACTTTTTGTCCTTCAATTCGATGAACCAACTGGAAAAAAAACGTAACTTTTGTTAATAATTCTGTATTTTTGTTTGTTTTTTCTCTTTTTCTCTTTTAATTTTTATTTACCTGAGATAAATGCAGTTTTCAGCAACATCTTTGAAGCAAATATATTTTGTTAGTTGAATGTTTGTTGATTCACAGAATTTTATTCTGCTATTTGATGTGAGTTATCTTCTTCATCATTATCATTATTTACGTGCATATTACTTCTTCTGCGTTTTCTGCATTGTGTAAATCTGATTCTCCTTATTCCATTGCAAAAATTTTATCTATAACATAAACATTCAAATTTTTCTTCTATTTCAGCACTTGACTAATTGTATAATAAATATTGAGATTGAAGTTTTATCAGTAATATTTTACGTAACTTTAATTTCTTTAAAAATATATTTAGTTGATCAAACAGTTTATATACAACAATAATGATTTCTTTCCATGTATTAATTAATAATTAATTTAATGACGCAAATATATTTTAATTTTCATATTAATATGTTTTAAATATATTTTAATTTTTCATAAACATTTTTAAACATTTTACAAACACATTTTTTATACAAAAGATCAAATTAAATACTAAACATTTTTAAACATTCTTTTACATTAAATTAATAGGATTTATTTCAAATAAATATTGCAAAATTTTATCGAAATTCTTTATTTAATTTTAAAAGAACTTTCGTTGTTCTATGATTTCATTACATACACAGGGTGTTTAGGAAATATCAGCATTTTATATAGAACTTAATTGTACACATTTTAAGCAAAAAAATTTACATAAACATATGTGTCTATTCTGGATAGTTATAAAGATATACATGTTCAAGTTTAAGAACGATGAATATATTTATTGATTTGGCCATTTATTGATTAGAGCCAAATGTTATGAAACAATTATATTAAATTTTCGTCATTTCCTGTCATGATTAACAAATGTAAATATTAACTCACTTTGATAAGTCCTATGTCAGTTTAAAATTTTGGCGTAATTAAAATGGCTTATATTCATTCCCCTTCCTTCCGTAACAAAATTATTATTAATTATTTGCAATTATATTGTTTATTAATATTAATTATTCAAATGTATTGTAACCTTAAAACTTTATATTTTATAGAATTTGATTCTAATAAGGTTAATGAATGTATTGTTCTACAGTGTCCCATAGAAAATTGTTAAAACTAATCACACACAGCTGTCATTTTCTAATGCATGTTATTGAGAAACCAAAAATTATGTTGGAAAATGGAAAGTCTGCAGTTTTTAATGGATATAAACAAAATGTTTGTATACTAATTTATTTGATTGAAAAAAAGTAATGAAAAAGTGCTAATGATCACATATGTAAACTAATGATAAATATTTTTGCACTTTATATAATTAGCACTTTTTTCATTAAGTCTTATCAATAAAACTATAAATTGATTATAATAAGACTATAATAAATTCATATACAACATTATTTATATTGGGTATGGGAATAAGTTGTAATCGTTTTCCCATTGATGGCATTAATAGTATCGCTTGCACCTTCTCTAATCTTTCAATATATGGATTTCAAAGGTGTGTATGTGAGCTGGTCAAACGCAGTATAATATAGATCGTCATTCTTTGCCCGGAGTACCGAAAACCGCTTCTATACTCGTCTATATTCTTTAGTAGGAGTGCTTTCTGATTTACATAAAAGGAAAAAATGTATATACAAGGTGTCCCAGACTTACTGTATCACACGTTAATGGGAAATTCTTGAAGCGATTTGGAAACGACTTTTTCTCGGCGAAAATGTCCAAGCACCAATAATATAATTTTCGAGTTACAAACAATTGAAAATAAAAGCTTTTTCGTAAACTAAGCCTTGTAAAATAAATTATTAACAAAACTACATTTTTTAGTTAATTTCAGGTAAAGTTTTAGAATTTTAATTTTTTTTAATAAAAAATTTTTTTAAATTTAAAAATAAAATAAATTTTAATTTAAAGCTTATATAGTTACAAAGATACATGATTTCAAAAATTGGGAACATTAAAAAATGATGATCTTCCTCGACATTTTTGCTGAGGAAAAATCCAAATAACCCTTAGGAGTCTCCTATGTATAAACGATGGTACGGTAAGATTAGGACACTTTGTATAATTCACATCGCGCACATTGTAGATTTTCTTTTGTTATGCGCGGCGCATCACAAAATATAAAAGAAATATTTCCCTCCCTTCCAGAAGCTTTATACATTATACACATATAGATACAAAACATATACAATATACACATATACAGAGGTCAAACTATATAAACACCCAGCAAACACCGATATATAATTGTTACATTGCTATAATAAAACGGAATATAACAATATAACGTGTACGTTACATGTAACATCCATGTTAGTTGTAATTTCCCGCTCATAGGTGTAACATTTTTAATATAACATAGATTACATTGTAGTTATATTGTAATTATATACCAAATAGCACATTGATGTATTGATATAAGTCAATGCTATCTTGGGATAGAATGACAATATAACTACAATGTAATATATGTAATATTAAAAATGTTACATCTACGAGTGAGAAATTACAACTAACATATACGTTACATGTAACATGCTTGAGTATATAACATTTATATACTGTGTTTGCTGGGATATTCTAACTTAAAAAAAAGATGTAAATCTTATGCAAAGAGAAGATATATAGACATACCTAATCAGTCGCACGGCCGATCACATTTGGGGAAGACGACGAACAGAACGAGATCCTTTCTTTTTGGCTGTCTAGTGCTCCTGCGAACTCTGGACTCTGAGTGCGTACGAAAATGGAAATGCTTGTCGCTTGCTGCGCAGCAAAAGATATATCTCGTCAGAGAGAAATCTGAGAGCGGCCGCGTGTACTAGTGCGCCCCCTGAGAAAGTGGACATAAACTACGTTGTGACGCTCGGTAAAAAAGGAAGATAAATGGTTCAATTCCATGATATGGTCAGATATGGTTTATGTTCGAACTATTCAGCTATATATAAGAACCAATAGGTCTATTCTGTAATTTTTTAACGCTTGCGTTATAATTATAATGCATGATTTACTAGATTTAAACCAATAAAATTATACAGTTTCTAGTAAATCATGCATTATAATTATAACGCATACGTTAAAAAGTTACAGATTAGGCCTGCAAGTTGAGAACCGAACAAAGGGTTTATTTTTGAATTTATTCGCAAGAGAAACGTATGCGTAAATACAGTTCTTACAGAAAAAGTTACAAGTTGATTAGCTAAAAGCCATACAATAGCCAATCAACTTGCAACTTTTCTGTAAAAACTGAATTTACACATACGTTTCTCTTGCGAATAATTTCAAGAATAAACCCCCAACTGAGTCAGACAAGGATCCATCACTCTGGATTATCTCACCTCACCGCGATGCGTCTTGTGGACTCGTGCGGCCGCAGGCACGAGATTTCGCCTTTCACGCATATATAGCGTTCGCGCAAATTCGCGGGTTATAATTTTTATGACGTTGACTTTGGGCAATATATCAAAAAATTATGTACATATCTTTTTATTAATTTGCTTTTTATTAAAATATTTTATTATTTATTTTCCAGCCCAAAAGTTCATTATATAGAGATGACTTACTAAATATTTGAGATAGAATAGAAATATTTTGCCAGTAAAAAGATAGAGCTTATACGCTAATTGGATCGTTGGTCCTTGTCTGACTCAGCTGTTCGGTTCTCAACTTGGTTCTTAACTGATGAATAGTTCGGACATGAACCATATCGCGGAATCGAATCATTTATGTGCTTTTTACCGAGCGTCACGACGTAATTTATGTCCACTTTGTCAGGGGGCGCACGCGTACACGCGGTCGCTAAATCCCGGATGGCCGCTCTCAGATTTCTCTCTATCTGTTTCTCGCTATCTATAATCTGCCCGTCACTCCATTGATGGAGAGTTGGAGAGCTGTTTCTCCATTTATCTTCTCTCTCACTTATACACATTTAAATAATGATGCAGTGGAACGATGTCGTGTATGTGTTGTTGCTTTTACTCTCTATGGCAATCGGATGTTTTTATCGTACGATAAAAGACCCCCGTGCGAAACAATGGTTTGCGACTCTTCTTGGCTTCGCCTTAGTGATCTGTGTTTCAGGATCGTCAGTCTTGCATCCGATTGTTGCAGTTCTTGTCAACGCCATTATCATAACCAACATCTCATGGAAGTACGAATATATGTTTTCAAAATAAAATTGTTCGATGATTGTTAAATTTCAGAGTATTGTTCACTGATTCCGTACCAAAATTTTATGTATGTATTTCGAAAAACAAAAACCATGTGTAATTGAATATTCGTTCATCTAAATTATGTTTAATTTGTATTTTTATATTATAGTTAATTTGGAATTATTTTAAATTTCCGCGAATTTTTCTTCGTATTTCTTTTATAAAACACATTTATTTATATTGTACGAAAAATGTATTAAAACAAAGTTCTTCATCAGTAGAGATATCTTTTTTATCTTGCTTTTTTATTATCTTGCTTTTTTATATATATCAAGATATTAAAATCTTGAATTTTTAAATGGAATGTTTTACTCCGAAATTTTAAAGACACATTGAATAAAAAAATATTTAGGATATACAGAAAATAATATAAAAATAAGAAAGAAGTTCATACAGTTTTTAAAAAGCCAGACAATCTATGATATGAGACTTAATTATTGTTATGAAGTCTTCAAATAAGAGGTGATCATTTTGAGCACTTCCTTTAATCTTATATAGTTTAATCTTATCTTAATTCTGTTGGAAAATAAAAAAAACAAGATGTAACTCGAAAGATTTATATCAGATATATATTTATATGATTTTAATTTTTATTTTACTATCATCATTTTCATTATTTTATTATATGCACATTTTTGCATTTCAGTATAATAATAGAAATAAATTTAACAATTCGAACATTATTTTTGCATTTATTACATTAAAAGTTATTTAAGAATATATAATGTTTGATATTTTTTCAAATTTCGAAAAATGAAATGTATATATCGAATTTAAAATAAGCATTCATTTAAAAAATTCAAAATGATATATTACTATCTCAATAAAAAAGTAAGATAGTGAATAAAAAAATTAATTACAATTCTGTACATCCTTGATATGATGGATTTCAATAAAAACAATTGTTCAAAATAATTAGAACAAACTTTAAGAGCAATTTAGTTGCCTAATATATATTGTCTGGTTTTTATTTAGCTCTTTTCATACCTAATTTTAATTTTATCATTTTCACATTATCAATACATATTATGCTTTCAAATATTATTTATTTTACAGAAAATAATTTTTAAGATTAACAATTATAATAAAAAATAGACTAAGATACTGATTTTGATATTTAATTGTGTGTATTCTTAATATGTTGTAAAATTATGAAATAGAAAATTAAATACAAAAAAATTTTCTTTATAAAGCATATTATTTATCAAACCTTCAGTTTTCCAATTACATATATCCTGATTTTTGTTTTTGATACACTCATTCAGAGCATATTTCTAGCAAATAAGTTAAAACAACAATAATTATATATGTGATAAAGAGTTCTAAGATATATATTTAAGTAAAATAATTCAAAAATCGGTGAGTACAATACTCAAAATCGAACAATTAATACATATATATGTATACTTAAATAGGAATAATGTAGAGAAGCTCCAATATATATTCTCACAATGAAAAAAAATTACATTTTAATTTCCAATTATATTTTTTAGGGAAGGATTGATGATCTTTAAATTAATAGAATATAAAAATAAAATTATTTATATTTTTTTCGAATATCCATTTATAAATAAATCTTGATTTTACAGAAAATGCCATCTAGTCAGCTTATACTTCTCCTTTTTTTACTTGCTGGTGATCTTCCGATTCAGTGATTATTTTGCATTGCCGAGTCCGTCAACCCACACGAATCTTGTTGTAATGATTCTCACATTGAAGCTACCTGGATTAGCATTCGAAATCAATTCGGCGGCAACAGCGCCAGCTGATGATCCTCAAGGTGCAAATTCAGACGCGTTCAAGAAAATTAATTTCATGGACGTGATACATTACAGTTTCAGTTACATGGGTGTTTTAACAGGTAAAATCTGAGAAAAATAAACGTAGATATGAGTTATACAGGGTGTCCTATACAGGGAGTATTACAGAATAATCAGACTAATCAATTGGTATAAAGAAAACGCGTAATTGTTTTTAAGAAAAAATATGTTGCAAATTGTGTCTAAGGAAAAATATGTTGCAAATTATATATATTTTCTTAAACATAATATTGTACGTTTTCTTTACACTAATTGATTTGTATTTGTCTAATTATTTTATATATGAAAATATTAAGGTAAGATTATCGAAAACTGAATATTTTACAAGATATATTTTATGCCAAAAAATTATTAATTTTAAATCTTAATAACTTAATCAAAAAGTACTTGAGAGAAAAATACTTTATTACAGTGTTTTGAAAAGCTCTCGAGATAAACTACAAGAATATACATTGAAAAATAGAGGTTTTCATTTAAGAAATTGAAGTTGACTTTTATGTAACCGCTTCAAACGACTATCCAAGGTCAAATGGTACCAATGGCATTATCTTATGTCCCCCTCGAAGTCAAAAAACTTTTGTATGAAACGACTACTCCCTGCAAAGTTATGAGGGATGGTACATTAAAATTGGACACTCTGTATACTTGTTTGGAGAAATATATTTCTAATAACAAGATAAATTATACTTAAATTTTTCTTTGTAGGCCCATACTACCGTTATAGGACATACTGGGACTCCTTACATAGACCATTCTCTAATTACGTTGATCCTTGGCCACTCACTTTTTACAAACTAAAACAGATTGCAGCATTTATTGGGCTGTTTTTAATAATGAATCATCTGTTTCCTAGTGATGTAAAATTCATTACGTTCATTATATTTATATTATATTATAAAAAGTCCAAAAATATTATTATATTAATATATAATTTTCTAATTTATTTTATAATAATTATATCGTGTATATAGAAACTGGATAGTCTAAGTTTGATTACGTTTTACTAATAATGTAAATTTTTAGCTTTGCATATCCTACTGCAAATCGAAAATAATGAAAAAAGAATACCCAAATAATAATTATTAATTATAAATATTAAATATTAATTCGAGCTATATTTTATCTTTGCAAAATTGGGTCCAAAAACTCATCGAAATGGACACTTTTTTATTTCTCAATTGCGAATTAATGATAGTATTATATGATACAATAACAATTATAATAAATTTAATATTGTATCTTTTTTCATTTCAGTATACGCAAACAGCAGCATTTGAAGAACTTAATTTCTTCTACAGATTCCTTTACATGTATCCCACTTTTTCTTGTTTCCGATTGAGAATGTTTATTGGTATGGGCTTAGCCGAATGTGTTTGCCAAATGTCAGGACTAGGAGCTTATCCTGTATGCTGTCAACCTGTATCTGGTTTGGGTCCACGCGATTACAAGACAATTGAGAAATTGTAAGATAATTTTCTTTTCTTTCTTTGTCCCCTTTTTTCCTTTTTTTTTATATTATTTTATTTGCAAGATATTAAGGAAGTTGTGTTTTCATTAACTATACATAGGGTGTCTTATAGAAAACTGCTGAAACTTTAATCAGCTGTCATTGTTTAATGTATGCAGTTATTGAGAATACATTGTATTAGAAAGAGGAAAAGCTGCAGTTTTTAATGGATATAAATAAAATGTTTGTATACCAGTTTATTTTATTGATAAAAAATAATGAAAAAAGTACTAATAAATCACATATGTAAGCTTTTAGTTTCAACAATTTCCTATGGGACACCCTGTAATTAATTTACTTTATTACATTTATTATGCAGATGATTCTATAACATATGTATATATTTTATAAGTGTATATTATATTTTATTTTAAAGCTTTTCTGGTTCCTCGTCGATCATGCTGGAATTGTGACGTCAGAGATGAAAAAAACACGATAAAAATTCTTGTTAGATTCTTGCCTCTGGCGTTACAAATTTAATATAACCGCGGCGAGAACCCAGGAGCTTTATTAGAAATTGAGACTAAAACACTATATTTTTATTATGGAATCATGTATGATACAAGCTATATGTATAACAGAAGAGTTTACTAATAATACCAAAAACATACCAAATAATTATATCTGATAACAAAAATAATTTTTTATTATTATATTATTAATATATAATATTACATCTAAATTATATCATTCTCTGCAAATTTCACAAAAATTGATTTAAGGAAAAATAATATAATTTAAAAATAATTCATTATAGGTCATTCGATCACGAAAGAGCGAAAATGGAGGTGCAGGATTTTGAAACGGTGCACAACATGAACGTATGGGATGTGGAGACTACTCCATTCGTTAGACATACAATGAAAGCATGGAATACGTGCATACAATATTGGATGGCTGTGTGCATTTATAAAAGATTTCCTTATAAAAATTTAAGAACCATTGTTACGATGCTTCTCTCCGCTCTGTGGCATGGTTACGCTGCAGGCTATTATTTTTGCATCTGTCAAGTACCGTTCTATCTAGCTTTTGAGGATATCGGCGTTAAGTTTTACAATCAATCTGGAGAAAACAAATTTGTGAGTTGTTTATATATTATATATATGTATATATAATTCTAGATATAACCCAGACAGCAGACGTCGTTTTGACGTTAGTTTACTTTTTACTACCTGGATGTAATATATAGAAATAATGTAATTTTGACGTCGGAGGTGAAAAAGCACACCCTGAAAATTCTTAGATATTTTTAAATGAAAAGATATTTCGATTTTTATTTCAAAATGGTATTTTAAGAATTTTGAGTGTGTTTTCTCATCTTTGACATCACAATTCCAACACGCTCGGTAAGGAGAGCCGGGACCTCCTTAAAGAGATTTTTTTATAGTTATTGCAATGCTTTAATATGTTCTCTAAATCTTTTAAATTAAAAAAAATGTTTAAATATTTCTAAATAATGAAACAAAAACTTTTCTATAGAACGATATATTTTTTATTACAATATTGATGTTATTCTCCTAATGAAATATAGAGTAAGAAAGCCTGGGGATTCTTCCTCTGGTGGTCAAAACTCACGTGCATGGCATATCTTGGCGTGCCCTTCCAATTGCTGCGCTTCCAAGAAATAGTACACTTTTACAAGAGTCTGTATTTCTCCGGACATATCTTAGGACTTGTGTTTTACTTGTTCATGCGAATTCTGAAAACTCATCTTCTTAAACGTCAGACGGAAGAAGATAAGAACAAATAATTTTTTTTCATTCTTTATTTTTTAAAAGTGCATCAACTTCAAAATGGGGATATATATACAATGCAAAATAAAATATAGAATATTTTGAGATTATGTATTTAGCCATACTTTATTTTTAACCACTGATACATTGATGAAACTTCTTATAAGTCTCTGACATATTTTTTGATTATTAATTTTTTCATAGATACATTATTTTTTGTTTTGTACGATTTTCTAGTGTTCTTCCTTTATAATCAATAATCTTTTACTAGGTTAAATATGCATTGTTTATATTTTATCAAATAACACTTTAGTATATTAAGGTATTTCCTGATTACTGTCATATTGAATTGTGATATCAAAGTCGTATAAATTTTTTCTTTAAAAATAAGTTAGTATTTTTATATATTATTGTGTTTGAGAATGTAGAAAAAATATACTAGAAATATATTTTCTTCTATAATTTTGCATTAATTATGTTTTGCAATAATAATTTGTGATGAATATTATTATAAATACAGCAAACAGTAACTTTAATATAAATGTGTCATAAGAGACGATATTTTTATATATCTTTGTTATTTTTTATTATCTTTACACTTTATTTTTTGTTATGCAGTTTTCTATATATTATAATTTATAATACCGATTAATTTTGTATTTTTCTGAATTTATTATTTATATATATTACTTTCTTTATGTCCATGGTGAAGAAAAAGAACTGAAAATACATTGTACAACCCAGAACTTAATGATTTTTATGAATAAATGATTCTGCATGCTTATTAAGAATTTTCGAATAAAAATAATCCTATATTATACAAAAATGTTGAATAAAGAGAAAAACTATATTTATATATAAAAAAAAAATACTAAAATATTTGTAAACAAAAACATTTAAAAAGTTCTGTTTTAAATTATCTCCCGAAAGATTTGTTTTCAAGTTAAAAAAATGATTATTTATATGTAGATTTTATAAAGTATGATCAACAATTGTTGATATATTATGAACATATATTTTCATGGATATAGATATTGAAAATATTGTTGAAGAATATTGAAAGTACAAATTCAAGTACTGCATGTTATTTCGTGATATTTTCTATATTTGAGAATTCGATTATAGAATTTTATATTGAAGGACGGAGGGATCAAAGAAAACGTGATACATATATTAGGTAACAAACAAAATTCGTGTGGTTTTTAGAGATTAATTCTAGATTTATTTTAATGAATAAAGCATTTAACGAAAATTTCTGTACTTGTGTGTATAAAAAAATTAATTTTTAATATAAAAAAATCGTACGAGTTTTTTTGGTTACCTAATATTATTAGAATATTATAAATTAAGAGTAATAAAGTTTATTTTCTCCATTTGAAGATTTTATTGAATACCTCGCATCTCTATAAAAAAAATCCACTGTTATATATGTTATTCTTATGTAATCAAATAATAAATGTTGGCATTAATTTACATCTCTTGGTTTATATTATCTTTTTGACATATATTATATAGAGGATACATCTATAAGTAATACACGTTTTAAATGTATTATTGTGATTGCACTTTCTATATAATATATATTAAAAAGAAAATAAAGAGGTGTAAGTTAATGTCATTTACTTTAAAAATTTTTATATTACTGTATTCTGAAAATATCTTGCATATAAAAATACTTACATTAATTTGTTACTTACTTGTAAGTAGACAAGTTAACATTTATACCTGAAAGAAAGACACAAAAGAAAAAGTAGACGGAAATTTTCCAAGAAATTAGGTCTCCATTTCGTCTGAGTCTCTTCAGTCGATGTGGCGCTATAGAAATTAACACAATCGACCAATGTACGTTGATTGTTCAGGAAGAATTATCAATTATCTCATCCATTAACTCTGTCTTTCAATTATTAAATCTAATTTAAAATTGCTATTGCATGTATTTTAAATTTCCTTTAATTTCAACCATTAACTCTGTCTTTTAATTTACGTCAAAGACGAGAAAATACATGTTTCCTCGTTTCTGACGTCACAATCTACTAAAATTAACTGATCAATGTAAATTATTATCAGGTTGTTTATCTTGTCAAACTTATTCTTTAATGTTTACTATTCTTGACATCTGTGTATGTACAGGGTATCCCATAGGAAATTACTGAAACTAATCAGCTGTCAGTTTTTAATGTGAATGTGTGAACCTATAAGTTTATTTTTTAATGTGAATGTGTAAACCTATAAGTTTTAATTTACCAAAATAAATTATTATTTAACTTACAAAATCAAAGAAATATTAATATTGTTAATAGAAATATTTTAAATAGAAAAAAATATTTGTTATATAAAAACACGCTTTCTTTAAAAAATTATATATAGGATGTCCCACAGGAAATTGTTGAGAAATTAATCAGCTGTCATTTTATAATGCATGTAGTTATTGAGAAAACAAAAATTGTATTGGAAAAAAAAAATCTGCAATTTTTAATGGATATAAATAAAATGTTTGTATACCAGTTTATTTTATTGATAAAAAGTAATGAAAAAAGTGCTAATAATCACATAAAATCACATAAACTAATGACAAATATTTTCAACAGTGCCAGATTTAATAGCAGCTATTAAAAGGATCGTCAATAACATTAAAAATGACATGTTAGAAAAAGTTTTTACGAGTTTTTGTAAAAGAACAAAATTTTGTACAAATTCAAATGGTGCGCACTTGGAAAATATTGATCATTTATCATTAGTTTACATATGTGATTATTAGCCCTTTTTCAATAAAATAAACTGGTATACAAGTATTTTATTTCTATCCATTAAAAACTGTAGATTTTTTTTTTTCAAAACAATTTTTGTTTTTTCAATAACTACATACATTAAAAAATAATAGTTGATTAGTTTTAGCAATTACCTATGGGACACCATGTATGATATTCAATATAGTAAACATTAAAAAATAACTTTTCCCTGTTTTAACTATTAAATTTTTTAAAATTGCACATAAGTAGAAATTGTATGCAATATAAAAAAATCGTATTGTTGATGAATTAATTGTTCTCTTTGCGTTTCTTTTGTTGAACTATATAATTACTATTTGTAATGCTAATGCAATGCAAAAAAATTTAATTTTAATCAGTAATATAATATAGTAACGTGTTGTGTATGTAAAAAATGATTTTTTTCATAATAAATTGCATTATCTCAAAAAAATATGTAACATTACACGAAAATTAAAATTTTTTGTCTATATAAATTATATTAGGCTGGATCGAATGAATCCTTTCCCTACTACTACTTCATAGATTTGCCAAATATAAATTGTATGTGCTCTACCATAATTTATATATGATCAGATCTAACATTTCGATGATTACCGGTAATCGATCGATGAATGCGTTTTATAAATAAGCCAATTTTTTTATTTTTTTCGCGAATGACCTAATAATGATTTATCGCGCGAATCCTCCAGAATCCGATATCGCGTTCCAAATATTCAAAGGGAAGCTAGCAGTAAGTATTTCTTAATTATATAAATGAATTATTATTTGAATTAGTATCTCTATCCCCTCTGTCTACTTTTTTCGCATATATATATATATATATATATATATATATATATACATACATACATACATACATATGTGGGAATACAGGATGGGGAAAAAATTTCGGAAACCTGAAATATCTTGGAAGGAGTGGGATATAAAAAAAATGTTGAATACAAAAGTAGTAGGATTCAAAGTTAGGTTCAAATCACTTGATGTTGATTTTAACGTGTGTGTATAGTGGTTTTTCAGGATCACATCAAGGTAAACTTGAAATTTTTTTAATAGAAATCCCTATCTTTAATTGTAGAAATAAAAAGATTTGATTTTGTAACATACATACCTAAACATAAAATTTTCCATTCTTTTCATTTCTGTAGTCAAAAATAGGGGTTCTCAATAAAAAATTCCAAGCTGACTTTGAAATGACTTCTAAATTTGACCTCTAGGTCAAAGTCAAGATCAAAATCAAGGTAAATTTTAAAGTCAAGGTCGCCGTTAATCAGTATTTCACTTTAAATTCTATTATTTACGCATTTAAGGCTTCTGGCTTCTCGCCGATCATGTTAGAATTATGACGTCATAAGCGAGAAAGTACATGCTAAAAATTCTTAGAGCCATTTCGAAATAAAAAAATATTTTGGTGAAACAACACTTTAGAATACTCTTGGAATACCTTGAAAACTATCCTTTTCGTTTTATAATCAATCAACAGCTATAAAATGACGATAATATGAGGTCCAGTTTATTTAGTCTTTGCACAACCTCAGTTATTCCGCATGACAAAGTCTGATATCACGATCATTTTACGATTACTGATTGACTGTCAAGGAAAAAGAATAATTTTTGAGGTATTTTAAGAGTGTGCTAAAGCCATTTAAAATAGTGTTTCATCAAAATATTTTTTCATTTAAAAATGGTTCTTTGAATCTAAGAATTTTTAGCGTGTGCCTTCTCGCCTCTGACATCACAATCTAATATAGCTGCGGCGAGGATCCAGAAGACTTTATCTTTCGGCGGGCGCGCATGTGTACTTTTTTGGAGGAGATTCATAAAAACTTTGAAAATCCCGACTCCCTGAGTTATCTCTTCAGTGTCTAATTATTAATATGCGTGATTTTTGTTTCGTTAAGATAAATTATATAAGTTTTAGGATTTTTAGAAATCTATCATGTGTACTAAGTATAAAAATGTTTTATTAATTTTAAGTATAAAAAGTCCAAGAGTTTCCTACTTTTGTATTTAATAATATTATTCAGTAATTTAATATTAATTTAATTTAGGAATTATATTTAGTAAATTATTTAGTAATTTAATAATAATTTAGTTTAATAATAATAATAGTATTTAAGAATATTATTAAATACTATTAGTCGTTGACGAAACATCATAGCGATGGGACGTGTTCCTCTTTTAACTTTTAACTATTAATTTTAAATAAGACCGGTGTGATGTTGCGTTAATCTCAGTTTAATTAATGGATTTTTCACTTGATAAGGACCACAACCAAATGGTCGAAACGTCGTGAAAGAATTAAATAAAATTGCTAGTTACGTCGAAATCAAGTTTGCCAAATATTATTAAATTAATATTAAATTAATTTAATCGGTGGATGTTCTTGATAACATAAGGTTGAACGTCGTGAGTCTTTTGTACTTTAGCACATATCACCAACCGTGCGAACGTCATTCTTCTAACAATGTATATAAATTTATATGACTATATAAAATATTATTTGCGTCTTTACGATTCAAACTTCTTTCAAATGAAATCGGATTGCCGTAGACAAGAGGAGGACACTAATCACGTCTCTTACATTCTTAGCGCGAACATTTGTTTGTAGCCCCATGCTGTTACGTTATGTATGTTTTAATTTGCAATCGGACCGGTAAATGTGTTATTCTTATGTGTGTTAAATATCTATTTTGTTGCGCTGATAAAGGCCCAAAAAAGGAGCCAAAATGCTCGCTATCGCTATGTTAAAACTATGTATTTAATGCGTAATAATTATTAAAATAATTGACACACAAAAAAATTTTTTCTTTGCTCTAGTATCACCCACGCTTGTACTCTCATAGCTAAATCGGTTAATGATTCTATTGATTTTAAATTACTAAATAATAATAATAATTATTATTATTATTAAAAACGAAAGTAAGAAACTCTTGGACTTTTTACTTACACACGACAGAAATAAAAACTTCTAAAAATCATAAAACTTATATAATTTGCAAAATTATTAATTTTGTATTTAGCATTTTCTTCAACTATCCCATTTCTTCCGAGATATTTCAGGGATCCGGAACTTTTTCCCCACCCTATATGTATCATGTGTGTGTATACTATGTATGTATGCGTGCATGCATCATGTTCCTCTCTCTTTCTCTCTCTTTCTCTCTCTCTTTTGCCCTGAGTTTCGCAAACCCCCCTTGGACGAACCATCATCGTATCGCACCGCATTGCATCGGACCGCAACCGCACCGCACCGCAACCGCATCGCACCGCATCGCACCGCACCGCACCAACACCGCTCTCTCTTTCTCGCTACTGCAATCTGCTTACAGCCCCCTGCTACTCGGCTTACTGCTTACTCTCAGCTACCCCATCATCGGCTACACCCGCGCCACGCCACTCCTTTCCACCGCCTGTGGCACCATAAAATAACAACTTAGTTATCATTGAAATAAATGTGTTGCATCCGTGTATGAGAGTAGTGGTTGTCTTTTTTTGGATTTTTTTTAATGGGAAATTGTAAAGGAAACACGAGTGAAATAAACAGAGAGGGAATCGGAGGGACATATTTCAACAAAATATCCAATCAACAAGTGAAATACTAATGTTTAGATTTTAGATCGCAGTGTAAGAGATACAATTGAACCTTCAGATTTCTCCTATCAAGATTCTACGTATCGAGATCACAGCATGGGATATATCGGCAATGATACAAATTATTAATTTATAAACATAATCTCTCTCTACATATATAAAATTTTTAATCCATAATGCTTTTCACACAAAACATCTATATGAATTGTATTTTTAAATTATGTAAATACCCTTCTACATATTTTTGTATTTAAAAACATTTTGACTTAATTATTAAATGTGCCTAATATATTGCTATTTTATGAAATTGTACATCATAAAATAATAAATCGTACACACAAGTCGCGAAATACTAACTCAGTACCTTATAATAAACCACCCTTGAATCCATAGATCTATAAGCTTCCTGTTTCCTAGATTTCCAAAAAAATGCAATAATTCCAAAAGCTAGCCCAATCGCTAGCAAATAGATAGTTTGAACATAATGTGTAATAATTTATAATATATACCAATACATACATATTTAATCTCTATAAATATGTATGTACGTACATACACATGTACATAGATATATATTGAGCCAAAAATGTTGGAATAATAAGCAATTTTAAATTTTTTGCTTACATATTTTTTGTAAACAAAAAATATAAAATTTTTGTACATATTAAACGAAAAGAATATTTTTGCTTATATATTAAATAAAGAATTTAGATCTAATTAAAAAAAAAAACAAAAAAATATTTTTTTATTTTTGCTAAACACATCTGATGCAAACCTGATGAGAACTTTTATGATTATTTTTTCCCCTTGCTAATACAACTGAAAATATTTGGAAAAGATTTACATTCTAGTAAAATCTATATTTTACTAATACACAATGATTTAGTAATTATAATATTTCCTAGAAGCATTAAATATTGCATATTAAAATTCATAAAGGAAAAACAAGGAACGTAGACATCTCCGTTTTATGCAATTAATCTTGCTTTATTACAAATGAATCTACGATATTCAGATTTACATCGACGCAAAAACTTACTTCTAGAAATATATTGTCGTGCGTGAGAATAAATCTAAAACTTTGAAATTATTCTCAAGTGTTAAAAGATTTCTCTTGAATTTAGCGTGCACACCTAAAGACATTGTTGACAAAAACATTCTCAAGTAATAAGGAATTATTATTATAAAGCATATTTTTAAAATCTTTATGAATTGTTGCAAGCTTTCAAAAAATTTTGTTATGTGCTGTTTATTTTATTTATCTATTTTACACATCTTCTTATCCTCTTATCATCTATAATATTGTTTCTCTTTATCAATAAAAAGATGAAAGCAGTAAGATTTCATAAATTATTACATTCATTATCATTAATAGATTGAAATTGATTATTTAGGACAAGATGATAATTTAGTCGACGTAGATTAATTATTATATCTCTAAAATAAAATCATTAATTTGACCCAAAACTGATATATGTATAATACAATTCTAAATTTAAAATCTTACTCAAAAAGAGATTTGTTTACGAGATGCAATAGTTACTTACAGTATATATTTGAAGAGTTTGTATAAACTCTATTTGCAATGTTTGTCAACATTGTTTAAAAGTGTGTACTAAACTTTACCAGCATAACACTACATGATTTAAAGAATATTTTATATTTAGAAAGATTATTGAGAAGAAATTTTATATTTAGAAGAATAACTCATAGTATAGTGTGTTTCCTAATCTCTGTCGATGAAAAATATTATGAATACTATCTGTAGCTTTGTGAATTTCAAAGACAAATGTATAATGCACACAAATCTAATATTATATTGATTAAAATTTCTTTAATTACTTAAAATAATCATATATTGTTGTGTGAGCAGAATCAATTAATTGATTAATCGTTAAACAAACGAGAGCGACGAGATAGTTGCATATAATGACAAACGCGAATAAAAAAAAAAAGCATGTGAGAAAAAAAATACATACGTGTTATAGGGCAGAAACCAATCGCGTCTCCACAAATCAAGGAAATATGTATATTTAATTGAAATATATATATATGTATATAACATATATTTTTAAATGATAGAAGAACATGAAGAAGCGTGCGAGTGTTGCTATAGAAGGTGATGGAATACCTTTTGCATTCTCAACATAGATTTATCGGCACTCGTTGGATGCGCGCGCTCATATTTTTATCCTCTTGCACATCCTTTTTTCAACAAGTTCAGTCCCTGAAAAATATAAAACTTGAATTTATAAATAATCTAATAATAATATATTACTATAACAAAAATTAATATCCTAAAAGTTGTTTTTTTAAAAAAAAGAGGCTTGCATATTTTTCACATTCTAGACCTCAATAAAAAATTCCTTTTCGAATATTCTGTTCAAATTTTATTAACTACAACATTTTGTCTACAATTTTTAAATTTTTCTACGATTTTTTACCGAGTTACATAATTTTGAAAGTAAATCTATATTTGTTTAATACAATGTCGAAAAATTGGTAAATTATTGTAGACAAAAAATTAAAGAAACAAACAAGTTTTTTAACACTGTAGCTCAATAAAACATTTGTTTCTTTTGAAAAATTCTATTCATGTTCCATAAATTACAACATTTAGCCTATAGAACATTATTTTAAAAAATTTTTTACTTTTTTTTACCGAGTGATTTTAAAATTAAATATGTATTTTTTAGGTATCAATACTTGGCAAAAAATCATCGTAGACAAAAAATTTTTTTTATGTTGGAGCTCGAAGTGTCAACTTCAACGCGCTGATGATGATTTTAGAAAAATTTCTTTAATTTCATTGTCCTGAAAAATACAAATTCAGTTACAAAAATGTAGTAACTTGGTAAAAAAAAAATCGTAGAAAAATTGTAAAAATAGCGTTTTGTAGGTAAAACATTATAGTTTATGAAACTTGAGCAGAATTTTTGAAAAAAATTTTTATCAAAATGCAGTGTCAAAAATACGTAAATTTTAAGGAATAAAACAATGTGTCCTTTTTAAAGCATAGAACAGAAAGTTTCAAAAATTTGTAAAAACCATCGATTCCGTGTTAAAGTTGCAAATTCAAAATGCTTTATTTATGTTTAGTCTACAATGATTTTCCAGAGTTTCAGCGGTTTGTATATAATTTCTAGGATAGGAATAAAAGTATTCTCTTCTTTTTATCTTCTATCTTCTATTTTTGCATTCAATTTTATTTATCTTCTTTTCTTTCAATTTTATTTTAAAATGCCTACCTTGATTTGGAACGACTGTCCTTTTGTCTGTCCTGGGACTTGCTGCGCGAGCGTGATTTTCCGCGGGAGCTTTTGCTATCGGAGCGAGAGCGACTGCGACTGCGGCTGTAAGAGCGCCTACGATCTCTGTCACGGCTGCGCGATCTGCTGCGAGATCGAGATCGAGAACGTCTACGATCTCTGCTTCTACTACGTGATCTGCAAACACGTTCGAATATTAGACCTTGTCTATATTCAGGGTGAGTCTGAGAAAAAATTTACCATGTTTTTCTCGAAAATAGTTATTCTTAAACAAAGAACATTTTTTTTAAATAAAAGTTGATCTTATCAAATGTCCAACCAGATGTATTAATTAGGGTTTTCAAAAATTTATGGTTTCAACAATTTTTTTATATAAATAATAAAATAGGCTAATAAGAGTTCACAAGTGAAAAATTCTAAATAATTTTAAATGTTTATTTAATTTAAATCTATTATGAATTGAAATGATAGATTTACAAGATTCAACGAACTTAACAGCTTATTTTATTATTTATATTACCAGAGCCTCCTTATTTTTAAAAATTGACCATTTTTTTTGGAATATTAATGCTCTGCAAAGATGTAGAAGCTTTTAGTCTTTTATATATATTTATATTAGTCTTTTATATATTTTATATATATATATAAAACCTGTAAATTGGAAATTTTATAATTTTTTGATCCTCTGTCCCTATTATTATCATATCATATATCACTATTGATATAACAATAAATTCACCTTCCACGACGACGACTTCCGCGGCTTCGATGAGGAGATGTTGGACGTCCATATCGCGCCATTTGAACCCGTAGTTCCCTGCCATCTAGAAGCCTACCATCCATGGCATCTAATGCATCCTCAGCATCACGCTTATCATAAAATCTATCAAAAGATTTAATATAATTTAAAAGGATTTAATATAAATCTATCAAAGGATTTAATATAATTTAAAATGTTGGATTTTTGACATTTTGCCAACAATTTTCTCTTAAAAAACTCTTATTTAATATATTATATATATAAATATAGACATAATATATAATATAATATAACATCGTTTAATCATATTTTTAATAACATTAGTAATAATAATATTAATAAAAATTTTAACATTATAGTATATAATTAATTATATATTATTTATCAAATTTATAAAATCCTACATGAAAATATTTAATAATATAATAATAAAAATATATATTAATAATATATATTATTAAATAATATATTAAAATAAATATTTAATATATGATATATTATAAATATTAATATCGTTTAATTATATTTTTAATAACATTAGTAATAATAATATTAATAAATAAAAATTTTAATAAAATTATAATATATAATTAATTATATCATATATTATATAAAATTTATAAATATGAAAATTTGTTATATATAAATATAATAAATATATATATAATATATAAATATAAATCTCCTATATAAAAAGAGAATTCTGATTTTAGCCGTTAAAGACACGTCGCATCGGCATTTCTAAATCACACAGGGAAGTATGGTGCGCTTGTGTTGTGACGTCAGCATCGTTATTGGCGTCCGTGTGTACCCGAGAGATCTTAATATTTCACTTAATCGATACGTGCCACACACGTTCAATATCCGCCGTCAATCCGAGAGCTCACCTGACAAAGGCGAAACCGCGACTCTCGCGAGTGAAGCGGTCCCGGGGATGTAAATGTCGCCGACTTCGCCGCAACGCTCGAACACGCGTCTGAGATCCTCCGGCGTTGTCCTGTACGTGAGATTGTCGACCTTCAGGGAGACCATCCCGTCGATGCGGGGCGGCGGCCTACCGTAGCTCATCTTTCCTCGAAGAGTTTGATCTCCGTGATGAAAGAAAATTGCAGGATTTGTTCTCCGGTAGACGAATTTAATTGCGAGGAAGAACTTTTCTCCAACGAGGTCCCTTCGGCAACAAGATGGCGAATACTCACTCCAGTCTCCAAATCGCCTTCAAACGATGAAACAGTCACCATGCACGGATACTAGATGTGCTAAATGGTAGGTAAACGTCGCCGGTTGGACGATGCAAGTGAGTGCTGATTGGCTGGCGTGTTTCTCCTCGACCAATCGGAACAAATCGACTCGGCCGGTGATTGATTAATTCACATTTGTCCAATTTACGTATGTATATAATACCACAGATTAATAGACAGATCGCCAAAGGCCTGCCTAAAGAAGAGACCGCCATCTTCGTGCGATAGACTTTGCCCCTTACCGACACACTTTGCCCCTGGTTCGAGTCCGTGCTAAATTCGTAGACTTGAACCAAAAGACTTTGCCCCTGGTTCGAGTCCGTGCTAAATTTCGTAGACTCGACCAAAAGACTTTGCCCCTGGTGCAAGTCCAGGCTAAATTCGTTTGACATTACCAACAGACTTTGCCCCTGGTGCGAATCCAGGCTAATTGATCATGAGACCAATTTGAGAGATTTGGCCCCCGTTGTGTGTGTGTGTGTGTGTGTGTGTGTGTGTGTGTGAGAGAGAGAGAGAGAGAGAGAGAGAGAGAGAGATATTTTACATATATGCATATATACAGGGTGTCCGGTAATTGTCGCCTCAACCATCATGTGCAGATAAAGTGAATTAAACCAAATAGGAAAGTCTTGTACCGTTTTGCGATTTTTGCAATAATTATTGAGTTATTAAATAAAAAAGATCGGCCAATCCACGCGAATAGAAGCGCGCGACGAGAAGAGACGTCCTACTGTAACACGATACACGGCGCGTCGCAAAGCGGAAGGAGGAGCGAACGATGACTGTCTACGAATCGTGTTCGAGAAATCTTCGTGTATCGTGTTACAGTAGGACGTCTCTTCTCGTCGCGTGCTTCTATTCGCGTGGATTGGCCGATCTATTTTATTTAATAACTCAATAATTATTGCGAAAATCGCAAAACGGTAGAGGACTTTCCTATTCGGTTTAACTCACTTTACCTGCACACGACGGTTGAGGCGACAATTACCGGACACCCTGTATATAAAATTTATTAAATATAAAAAATATATTTTTTACACATAAAATGTTTTTTTATTGAAATAATCACGATTTTAAATGTGATTTAACACAGTGTTCAAAAATTTTTTAATTAAATTTTTTAATTAAATTTTATTAAAGAAAATTACTTGAAATTTTTTACATTAAGAATTTAAAGGCTCCTTATTCTCTTGTAGAAATTTATCACTACGCCAATTAATCACTTATTTCGAGTATTTAAAATACTATAATATACAGTAATTTAAGTATTCGAAATAAAAGTGATTAATTACTCGAAATAAGTGATAAATTGGCGTTACTAGTAATAAATTTCTATAAGGGTTGAAATAAAGTATAAGAGATAAATAGGCTATATGTGAGCCGTATGCGAAATGTGAGATGTAAGACGCATATTAAAATTTAATTTTTCGATATAACTTTCAAAAATGTACACGAGGTACAAAAATTAGCTTGGACATTTGTAAGACTTAAAATTGGGATTAATTCTCAATTCTATTAATTAAATTTCGATATAACACACCTTACATCCGCGCACGGCTCACATATAGCCCATTTATTAGTGCAATTTTTAAGTTCCTTATTTTTCAAAGTTCACCTTTTTACGTTATCAAATATTTTTGGTACGTTTTCAAGAATTTTATATTTTTACTTACCGCAGTTTCTTATCCAAATGTAAAATCTTTTATCGCAGTCTATAAAAAATTGAAACAATTTACAATTTTATGATATAATATTATTATTATTACAATTTCTATATATATGCACATCTGTCAAATATCGTGATTTATTTCACATTATTATTATCTATTTTAATAAAAAAAAAAAAAAAAACACTTGCAACAATCAAAAATAAACCGCCTGCCGCGAACGGAAAATGCCAAGAAAGCACGCAATTTCCGCGAATCTCGTAATTTTTTTGAAAAATCAACAATTTCAACGAAATTGTAAATTCTTCAAATCACTGCACAAGTATAATTCACAATAATAATTTTCAGTAACTACGATAAAAAATCGTATACTGAAAACCGCAAACGAAAGTGCAATGGGAGTAAGAGTAAAGTCTGTGATAAAATTAATTGGCAATAGAAAATTAATAATTTTCAAATAGAAAAATTTTGAAATTACCGAGGATTTACAAATAATAAAGTAAAAATATTAAATAATTTATGTTTTCGAATTTTGCTCGCGGAGAGGATCTTTAAAACAAGATTTTTAGAAGAGAGGACCTTTAAAATATAAACAGGCAAAAACGTTGGAAAAATTAAAGCGCGCGTTTAAACAGATAAACGCAATGAAATAAATACGCAATTGTTTTTACTTATCGCTGTAAGCTCACAAGCTTCTGACGTGCTATACACTTTTATATAATATATACAAGGTGTCCGGTAACTAACGGACCAATGATTAAGGGCGGATTCTCTGGCCAATTTGGAGACGATTTTTCCTTAGCAAAAATGTTGAGAAGTCAATAATTTTCGAGTTATAAGCGATTGAAAAAAATAGGTTTTTTGAAAACTAAACGTTTTGGAGTTAAAAGTCTAACATAATTACATTCTTCAGTTAATTTCAGGTAGAGTTTACTATAATAAATTTTAATTTAAGGCTTAGTTATAAAGATATATAATGACAAAGATTGGAAAGTTGTAAAAAATGATGACCTTTTTCGACATTTTCGCTGAGGAAAAATCGTTCCCAAATTGACCAAAGAATCCATTTGTAATCATTGGTCTGTTAGTTACCGGACACCCTGTATATTGGACACGAGTTTCGTTTGTTTCAGATTCTCGAGAGTTGAAGTAGGAACATACGAGTATCATATATCGTTTGTGACTTGCCGAATGAAAGCAAGACAGAGAGCGAACGAGATGATGAGCTTAATAGCTCATAATGTTATAAATAAATAAATAAAAATTATAACCTGACCTACTAGTTATTGAATCTTTTTTTAATAAAATGTTTCATTATTATTATCATCTAAGTCTAAGTCGTTTAATTACTTTTTAGTTTTTTAATAATTAATTTAATTTATTCTAGTCATTTTTATATGAGAAAAATAATATCACGTATACGTTTTATAATGAATTAATATATTTCGGGAATCGAATTATATATTCTTAATAATATAAAAGTGTTCAAAAATTATATTTGACTTTTAATTTTAATTATTTTATAGCAAAGAGTTCCGAAATCTCTTACACACATAATGGGGATTTTTTCATCCATATAATTCGCAATTAAGTATATATGTTAATTATTAATTTAATAAAATAAAAATTAAAATTAAAGGTCAAATATAATTTTTAACACAAATATATTAAATTAATTATAAAACGTATACCCATGATAGTATTTTTCTCGTACAAAAATAATTAGAGTAAATTAAATTAATCATAAAAGATTAAAAATTAATTAAAGAATTTAAACTTATATTTTATATAATAATAATAAAACATTTTATTACGTCAAACCGTCGTGAAATAATTAAATAAAATTTGCTAGTTACGTCAAAGTCAAGTTTTCTAAGCTTATAAAACATTTTATTAAAAAACAGATTCAATAAATATAAGTACATGTTATATATATACTTATATTTATTGAATCTGTTTTTTTTATAAAATGTTTTATTATTATCATATATAATATAAATTATTTAATTATTTTTTAATTTTTTTATGAGTAATTTAATTTGTTCTAGTTATTTTGTACGAGAAAAATACTATCACGGGGTATACGTTTTATAACGAATTAAATATATTTATGTTCAAAAATTATATTTGACCTTTAATTTTAATTTTGTATTTTATTAAAATTAATAATTAACATATATACTTAATTGCGAATTATATGGATGAACAAAATCTCTATTATGTGTGTAAGAGATTTCGGAACTCTTTGCTAAAATAATTAAAATTAAAAGTCAAATATAATTTTTGAACACTTTATATTATTAAAAATATATAATTCGACTCTCGAAATATATTAATTCATTATAAAACGTATACGTATTAGTATTTTTCACATATTAAAATGATTAGAATAAATTAAATTAATTATTAAAAACTAAAAATTAATTAAACGACTTAGACTTAGATGATAATAATAATGAAACATTTATTAAAAATAATTATAATAGGTCAGGTTAATATTTTATTTATTTATTTATTTATAACATCATAAAATTCTGTCCTTTCCGAAATACGCGAACGCTACGAAAAGATAAATCTCGTACATGCCGCCGGACGAGTTCATGAACATGAGACGCTCTTATCTTGGGAACGTATTAATAGTTACTGCATTGACCACTACTACGATATGGCGCTGAAATCAGTGAGAAATGCTGGTCTCTCCTTCATCCAGACCTTTGGCGATCTGTCTATTAATCTGTGATAATACTAATAAAATAATACATAAATATATAATATATAGTTATATAATAATTTATAATTATATACATAAATATATATATATATAATATTAAATGTTTTATTATACAGCAGAATGTTTTGTCTGAATTGAAGGATGACAAAGAACTTATGTTTTAATTTACCAAAATAAATTATTTAACTTATTAAGTCAAAAAAATATTAATATTATTAATAGAAATATTTTAATAAAGTAGATTTTAAAAAACAATATTTTATATAAAAACATGCTTTCTTTAAAAAATATATGCAGTGTCTTATAGGAAAATGCTAAAATTGTCATTTTTAATTTCATTCAGTTATTGAGAAAACAAAAATTGTGTTAAAAAGAGGAAAGTTCTAGTTTTTAATGGATATAAATAAAATGTTTGTATATCAGTTTATTTTAATGATAAAAAGTACTGTATTAATATTTATATACTATATATATTATTTTAATTAGACACACGCTTGCATGCATCTATACATTTAAATTTTCTGCATATCTTTATTACATATATTTATTATTAACAAAGACCACTACCAATCTGTGTATGTAGCATAAAATATATTTAATAATCCAAAA